TGTCGAGTGTGCGCGGTCTTTTTTGGAACTCTGTGGGTCGAAGCCGAAGCCTGTGATAGAAACTATTGTGACGGCAGAAAAAACTATGGTTCTTTATTATGACCCTCTATCGAAAAAAGAATCAATGAAGTGGCGTCGTAAGGGTGAAGCGCGTCCAAGAAAATTCAGAGTCTGCCAGTCAACAAAATAGTTGGGATTGTGAAGGAATTCTTTTGATAGATTTTAAAGAAACAAATACCACTGCCAATGGTAAATATTAAGCCTACATTATTACATAAATTGCGAGACTGCATACGTGTAAAACGTCGAGGAAAACTGACCAGCGGCGTGCGTCTTTTGCACGATAATGCACCTGTCCATTAAAGGGATTGAGTTATTAATAAAGAGATGTAAGAAGTTATTTAAGTTAAAGGGGATTATATTGAAAAATAATAAAAAATTGTTACTCTACTTTGTTTCTTTCATATTCAGGCCGGGGAATTTTGGCGCTGCCCTCGTATCTATGGTAGAAATACCTGATAATTTTAGCTTTGAATATGCGATGTACAGTAGCTGCGGCATTGAAATCTGGGGGAAAAATATCATTTTATCTGTTTTACAAAGAGCGACAGACGGAGAATAGTGGAGAAAACCAAAGAAAGCTAAACTGATAGATATAGATTGAGAACGAAAGAGAAATTGCCCATTATTATGTTAAGAACTTTGGTTATGATAAGAATTTGCAACAAAATTAAGTCTGTATACTACGGTTAAAATTACTACCAAGTGAACAATAACAGCACTATAACTTTTAAAAGGAGGTGAGAGGAGAGGATGTGATATACGCTTTGGAGTGATGTCACACCTCCTAGTTCTTGTGTTTTGAGTGAGATGAGCCTCAACGAAGGCCCAAAAGTGAAATATCTCGAAATTAACGAAAACCGGTAGATGTCGCACGTTGACAAACGGCACCTTCACACGCGTGCACCTGCCGCGTGCAAAAAGACGCCCGTAATAAAAAATGGCGGTCACGTGCGCGTTATATATTGTTCTAGTCGAATACGGCGTACTCGAAGATAATTATTACGTCGAGTTGTTAGTCATGTTCGCGTTACCACCGCCGCACGGACCTTGTCGGCTTTTGAATATTAATATTTCAGTATAGTTGCAATAAAATCGATCCGACGCTAATAACGAAAACAAATATCTACACAGAAATAGAAGTAACAGTTTTTGAATGAATGTAGCCGAACAAAATGCGTATAATGGAAGATGTTATCTTGATAACATTTTAATTGGCTGTAACTTTTTGTTTGTACAAATTAAAGTAGAACAAAAACGGTAAAAATGCACCACATTGTAAGGAGGGGTACCTTCTTGCTGCCATATAATCAGCGCTGATAAATTTAGGGGTAAATCTATATATCTATAGGCTGTTCTATTTGTAAATAATGATCTCCAGTTAACTTTTCATCTATAAATATCGGACCCAAAATATGCCCATCTATGACACCATTGACCCCTGAGTTTTTATTTCATGTATTTGTCAGGATTATTTTGTAGCCGACGAACTTTCATCAGTCCATAAAACGTTTTTTAAAAAATTAGTATTCTCGTCATGTCCATTTAAAAAATCCAAACAAAACTGCATCCTCCTTTGGCATTGTTCTACACTTAGTTTTTTTTTAAATTTAAATATTTATTTATATTCTTTCAAAACTGAGTGGATTCATCCTCGAGGTATATCTGTCCCTTCATATACTCTAGTAATAGAGGAAACTGGATGTGCATCATAGAATCCTAATATGTTTGCCTTATTTTCTTCATTTCATTATGATTCCGCATATTTTTATGCTCTAAACCCATCACCGATTATTATGTGTATCGTAAAGCCAGCCGGTCAGCCGGTCATCTGCCGTGTGTGTGGCTACTGACGTCACGATACCTCGCGCCTCGCGCTAAGGTTTCGTTTTCTAGCCTCGCGCCGATCCTCGACCTTTAAATGTTTCTAGCGGACGGAAATATGAATATTTTTTATCGTTTTTTTAAGAACAAAACCCTACGAGTCCGATCAAAACATTCGTTACGCATCGCCAACTTACTTTCCAACTCGTTCAGATTCAGGTACGGATACGCCAGGGGGCTGACTTTTGCTTGCCGGTCCTGCATAATACTTTTTATAACTATATGTATAAACGTCCACCCGCCAATCGAATTACGCCAATAACACGACACCGCGGCGGTTTGCCGCCAACGATACACGAACCGCCGCCTAAGCAACGATCGGTCACACTGTTTCACGCGAAACACCGCTTGAATGGAACTCGGCCGTCGCGACGTGGGCGATTGCGAGCGTCGCGGCGCCGACTTACGCGCGAGATAACGAAACGGCGCGCCCACGTTATGAAGGCGGCACTTTTTTTTTTTGATTCTCCGAAACGCGAATAGCGTGCGTGAAAAATAAAATAAAAAATTTACATCCACCCACCCCTACGGGCGGGCATCAACCGGCTTAACAACTACGGTGGCGGAGTATTCAAGACATCGATTGACTCGTTTTTTTTCCTCAGACAAATAAACTCAGCAGCAGTTGCCGAACAAAATCTTGCATGGGAATCAGTCATCCGAGACGGTATTTATGCCCCTTATTTAGAACCGCCCCCCTCAAACAATATGAAAGCCGGTACAGAATAAAATGCGAGCAAGTTTCAGTCAAGTTCTGAAGAAGCCAACAGGATGATCGGCGCCATGTTAGCAAGTTCGAGTCAACAAAAACCGACGCAGGAGATTTATAAAAAACACACTAATATGAAATAGTATAACAGTTTAATCAAAGAAAATTTCCTTACTCTTAAAATAACACATCTAGCGGCTTATATCTTAAATAGGGCCCTGGCTCATGGTACACGTGCTCAAAAGAATAGTCTCTTCTGCTTTACAAAAGGCGGGTCTTAAACTCATTCCGAACTCAAAACCATAAAAGGTTGTAAAAACGGTATATCGTTTGGAGAACTCTACAAGCTTTACTTAACCTACCTTAGCTATATTTACAAAATAATAAAAAAAATAACAAATACATATTTTTCTTATTGATAACGTATTAAATTGCTCCTTTTTTTATGAACATCGGTATGACTATGAGGTCTCTTTTATGTTCTCTTCAATTTTTCAATTAATCCATACGAATAACTTTTGTCGAAAAAAACATATTGCTATTTCCCATTCAATAGGATGGTGTCGTTTCTTAACAACATTGAACAACTTTTATGTTAGGTTTGGTTTTAGGACCCGATAGAATTTTTGAAATTTTTCGGAAATATTTAGAACAAACACCAGAACTTTCGCTATCCAAGTCTAGTCTAGTTACTGCTACTGCATATCTCATTCTAGACATATCTAAAAGTTACACTTATTAAATATTTCCATAAATACGCAGCGTTTCTGATATTCCACTAAGAATTATAACTTGGAAAATAATTAAAGTAAAAGAAGACTTTAAAAAAATTAAAAATCTTCAGGTGATTTATTTAACCGATAATCGATAACCTCACTTTTAATTTACCTTACCTTAAGAAACTAAACAAGTTTACACATAAAAATACACAAAATAGTGAATAAAATAGGTATTTTGTTTTGTTTCCCAGTTTTATGCATCAATCATGAATTGATTCTGATAAATAAATACCCATTCTTTGGTCTTTTTCAACAATTCCAGCGGGTACGGATAAACACAAAAATACATAAGTCGTAACTTGATTTCTGCAAACTTGAAACGTCCGAGTATAATGATATATCCCGTTCCTTCTCATTTAATTCGACACTCTTCTTTTTTAACACCTTTTATACTTTTTTATAGCCCTTTATTTTTTAATGTAATATAACATAAAAAAATACCCTAAAATGACAAAATAACAACGGACGGACTGCACTGAAAATCGATCAACCAAACAATGAAGTATTTATTAGAAGGCAAGCTTAAAAACAATTGCTAGTAAAAGTCATCTATGAACTAATTTGTGTTGTGCGGGAAAGCGATTGAAAAATAAGTGTCCGCGGGTGCACTCACTGAGCAATATACCAGTTTCATGCCGATAACGGGTTACATAAATATTAGGACAACTTCCTTCTTACTGTTTGGAAAAAAAACTAGGCCAAACCCGAACAGCGTTCTGAAAGTGACATTTGCCGATATGTTTGCCGTCTCGAGGTGCAGATTGCGCGATGTATCTCTTTATACACCCGATGCAAGCAAACAAATAAACCCGATAATGGGCTTTTGCTGTTCTTTTTTTTAAGTACCGACGTCCATTCGGCCATAGACTGATTGACTTATTGAATTTAACAAGTCACCCATGATATTGACGTTAGTTGGTACAGCACTGGTATTCTGTGGTTTTCTAATAATTTCTTTTCCCCTAATAACTAGTTTTTCATTAATAAATTCATCGAGTAAATATGTTCCCGTTAAATTTTCAGGAAAAAAAAACATTAGAAAGAAAAATACGTTAAAGTTGTTTATATGCAATTATAACATGGCCTTGCTTTTTTTATTTATGTCTACAGTTTGCGTTACTGAACTGTCCTGTGCGATTTACTGAGGCACAGACCAAAAAAAAAATAGATTTACAGGTAACTGTTCTTGTCGCTTTGTATGCAACTTTTGACCTGTCCCTCCTAACTCTAATGAGTTGAAAAGCGTAAACGTGGATCGATAAAACGATGATTAATAATAAAGCGGCCTATCTGAGGGAAGTATATTTTATGACCCACATGGCAAATACCCTGCGGCGACGTAAAATATTTGCGAGCCTCAAATTTCGACGGCAAAAGGTCCCTTTCGGCTTTTTTTATACCGTCCTTGTGATATTACGACTTCTAAAAAAAAACTGTTTGCCTCTGCTACTGAATGAAATATCAACCAATATATAGTCCTCAGAAAGCAGCAAACTTTGTGCTGGTTTTACGTGCTGCTGTAATTTAGTTCTGGTGAATTTAGTTATAAAACTTATTGAAGAACTTACCGGTTTAGTTTGCACCATTCTTCGCAAAAACCACCATAACTCTCGACGGACGAACGTCCAAAAGGCACTGAATTTTGGACAATCAATTATCGAAAATAGCAACCAACAAAGAAATCTAAATATTTCCTTGAAAATCACAGAACAGAAAACGAAAATTATTGGCAGTGATCAACAAACTTATCACTAGCTTGGCGGCCACATTTGCCGGATGTGGTGTTTTGTATATATAACAATTATTCATAAATATTTCCGAAATACATTCGTGCGGTCTTATTGCGTTGACGTCACGGAATATAAAGAAACCTTCATGCGCGATTGCCATTTCCACCTGCCAGTCTCGTTTGTTTTCTAAACAATAATTTTGTGAGTCATCGCCAGGATGAGATTGGGAGAGATGCATTGCGATCTAATCAATTAAAATCCCAATTGAAGCTAAAGAAATTTTTGCAAAAAGCGCCTTCGCGCTGCGTTTTACAAAACGCATGCCCCCGACAAATCAATACCGAAAGTCATGTAGGTGGTTGCCAAAACACCCATGAGAAAATCGATTTGAGGTTAACCCGAAACGATGGATCTTTCAAAATTAAAGTGAAAACAAAACAATGTCCCAAAAATCAAAATGCAGCGTAAATTCGGACGGTAGTGTGCGTCTGGGCGATATTTTGGATTCGTTCAATTCGTGTATAAAAGAGGAACACGCCTGGGCGCTCTGTTATCAACTAGCCAAATACTTTTTGGAATGTTTGGGCACTAAAAAACAACACATTCACAATATTACCGAAGTTCAACACGTCTTTCTTAATAGCGACGGGTCTGTACACGAGAATACGATTTTAGCTAAAGACAAACCTCGCAAATTGTTAAGGTAAGTAAAAAAAGTCTACAGGGTTCATTTCTGGAAAGTAACTATACTACATTTTAATTTCGGTCAGGTGTGAAAACGAAGTTGTTGCCGGAATAGGGGTTGTAATTTATACCACATTAGACAATAAAGTAAATGATGGGGAAGAGGTCCTGTTTAGCAGCGACTTGGAACAGCTCATCAGCGATATGGTATCGGATGAGGCGAACAATTCAGAACAAAGTCACCACGAGACAGATGACGAAGGCATCGAACGGGACTCGGAAGAGAACGACGAAGCCGGCTCGTCAAAGTGCAACGCGAAGCATATAACCTTGCAAGAGGTTCTGAGGCAGTGCGAAGCGCACTTGGGTAAATAGTGCCTTCAGTAATGCCGGTGTAAATCCATGGCGACTTTTTGAAGGTACGCTAACGAAAGCTCAAGCAGAAGCGCATTATAAAGCGGTCGTCAGGGCTCTGGTGGCGGAGGCCATTGAATTATCGACGTTCCTGGAGAAAGTGGCTCAGGGAAACATTAGTTTGCCGTCAAGCAGCGCAAAAAACACCAACTTGGAGGAGCTCAAGTTTACGGACTGGGCCAAGTTTTGGGTACAAGTGATGGGCGAACTGAGAACCGGTACTTAATGGTTTTGTTATTGTATTCGGTCAGAAATAATCGTTAACCGATAAAAATGTGTTATTTCAGGAGTGAAACTGAAGAAGGTTAATTACAGTAAGGCGCCCATTGAATACGAGTTGACTCCTTACGAAATATTAATGAAGGATATTAGAACATGCAGGTACAACCTGCGTAAAATTATGGTGAACGGCGACATACCATCCAGAGTTACCAAGGACGCTCACGCCATCATCTTAGAATTCATAAGGTATGTTCAGTTAAAGGGCTCATCAATTTCCATGAACAAATAAGTTTTTATTTTCACAACCAATGCTGCCAGTTAATGATTTTTTTATTAAAATTCAAGCGACAACCGCTTTTTTCAACGTTTGGCAAAAATTATGCGATAATTGTTGGAACTAGAGGTTCGGCATGTTCAACGTCAAGTCTATTACTTTTTATCAAATTAACATGGAAAGTTCATTTCAATTCAACGATGCGTTTCACAGAAAACTGTTGGGCACGACTACGAGGATCATTCGCCCAAACATGGAAAGTAAAAGAAAAAGTACATTGTTTCGTTCACAAGAATGTTGGGCAGAACTGCTAAAATCATTCGCCCATTTAAGATTTCAGTTTTTGGGTTACACCCCGGCACATGTTCTTTGACATTCACTGACCAACCCATGTGCCGCCAGTTATTGAAAAACTAAAATAAACCCATACAAAAATAAGCAACTCCACGGCGCGGCTATATGACATTTCTACTCTTAAATAAGCACTAAGAACACAATAATTAAACCGATATCAAACGATTTACACCGAGAAACGGCAGATCGTGCGGAAAGCCGACAAGAAAAAAAGTGATTCAATTCATTATGCGTTTCACTACAGAGTATCGGTTTTTTTCATTTCGTCAAGGATTTTTGACATTTCGGTGAATAGCAAAAACAGCGCAGCCTTTATGCTTTAAAAACAAATTACTTCCAAAACGAATAAGAATTACATTCACTGTTAGGTTAACAACGCAGCCGGCGAAAAATAGCGGCCTGGTCGCGTATTGCCCGTATTGCTGGTCACGTGACCCTAATAGATCCAGGATTGAAATAAGCCACATTGCAATAAAATGGTTTCCTAAAGATTTCCATTAATATTAATTATCTAAAAGTATTTGGAAACTTATTTTAGAGTCAGGTATTATTTATTGTATTAGTATCAATTGTTTTAAACATATTTTTAGGTGTTATTGTCGTCAAATCTTACAATCGATTTTAAACAAACTTCCCGTTAACCGATTTAAATGAAATTCGGTATAGTGATGTATGTTGAGTGACAATACAATATTATAGGAAAAAAATTATAGGGGCAGGGGGTGGCGAGGGTGTCTGACATACTTTATGAAACAAAATTGTTACTTATTTGTAGTTTTCAGTTATGACTTCCCATACATATTTTCTATGTTAGAGGTTTTTTTAGAGGGAATAAGTGCGCCGGTGGGGTTTGTTAAGGGGGTGCAAGAGGGTTTATATATATAAAAATTTGTAACATTTGAACCAATACCGCTATAATTATGCACTTTCCAGGTTTCAATTCCGCTAAATGTTTCCTGATATATTTTTTAAAAATTACGATCATAGGGATAGGTGGGAGGGGGAAGGGGTAGAGACTTAAAAATTTTTGAACCGAGGCTGCTATGATTATGCACTTTTCGGGTTTCAGTTCCACTAAATGTTTCCTAATATATTATAAAAAAATATGATCATTGGAGTAGCTGGGGGAAAAAGGGGGTTGATACTTAAAAGTTCATAACTTTTAAAACAAAGTTGTTACGAATACCTATGAGTTTTCACATATAATATCTAATATCATTAGGTATCTTTCTTAGCCAAAATTCTTTTTGATTCGGGTCAGATGGTAAACCGAAAGTGGAAACGGGTCCCGTTTCTTCGGACTTGCAATTTGACCGACACCCAAAAACACAACATCGCGGCATGTTTGCACTGTTCTTTGTACTTTCTGGTACTTGGTTGTTATCACAAATGACCACGGGTTTTCGCAAACATTTTAGTTATCGATAACACAAAAAATACAGTTAAAAACCGAGTTTCAAACACCGATATCCACAGACACAACTTCGCGGGCAGTTTGCACTGTTGTTTGTCCGATTTATGTCACTTGGCTTTTACTACGAATCCACGCGGGTTTTTAAAACATTCCAGTTATTACTGACACAAAAGAGAACAATGAATAAACCGAGTCTTAAACAATTTGATACGCCGGTAACCTACATAAACTTACGTGTTTTCCCGGGCCGCAGCCGGACTGACTGAAATTGCTGGATCTATTAGAGTCACGTGACTTTCGCGCGGCAGGGCCGGCCTTATAACAAGTTATGCAGGAATGAAATAGGAACTATACAATTTATGATCTAAGCTTAAACTACGCTGCCTCCAGCAGTTTCTAGGTATGTGTAAGTAAGCTAAAGTAAGACAATCACGGCCAATTCAAGTAACGCCCTAAGTAAGTGACAAAAGAAATACATCCTGTGTAGGTTAGTTTTATTTCACTTTCAGCCGGCTGTTAAGTAGTTTGTCTTGATCTTTAACTTGCGAATTATTTTGTGAGTTTGAATTATCAATAAGAATCATGCTGTTTGGGGCGTAGTTTAAATTCGTCTCATTCCCCTTTATTCAAAAAAAAAACAAATAAAGTCATCGTGACATATTTTCGGGAAATCATCGTTTTTTAACTGAACCAAAACTATCACCCTCCGGATTTTCAAGATCGAGACCGCCACTGCGAAAGGTCTCCGACCGAAAACTGCCGCCGCAACAGAGAACGCTCACTCCTCGCGAGCAGTTGCTGCTCTCGATCAAAAAGGGCAGGAAATTAAAGCCGGTACCGTTGCCCAGGTATAGTATGTCTCAAAGTATATCGTCTAGGCTTTTGTCCGTCTCTCCCCAAAAGTAATTACAAACGAAAACGCTTCTTACTAGTATATCACTTGTTGAAGTTTTCTTTCTAAATACGTTCGATCAGAAAGCATCCTGTATAAGTTTTTATTTACTACGAAATTTAATTTGACCCCAATTTAAGAACGGATTCGAGATGTTTGGGTCTTAAACACCGAAATACTTTCATTGGATTTTGTCTCAACTTTACGATATGACCTTTAAGTAGTACACCCTGTGCTGTCGGTTCTTATCTTCTTATCATAGTTATTAAGAATATTGTAAACGTTAACAAATAAGGAAATCGTCAAAAGCGCAGACGATATACTTCGAGACAAAGTGTACGCGACCACCGACCGACCTATTCCTGCTGCCCCATATTGCAGGACGTCGCAGCGCTACGGGAGCGACAAGGACCAGCCGAAACCGTCGGGCCGGCGTCTAATAAAAGTGGATCTCTCGCAATTCGAAGACGACGACGACGACGACGTCGAGGCTCCCGAGACTCCCGACTCATCGGAACCCGGCCTGTGGTCCAGCGAATACCAGGAAATATGCGACCCCACCACCCTAGACGCGTACGACCTAGCCACCAGGGAGTGTAATTTGGTGGGTACGAGACGGAGCACGTTGGGGGTGACCGACGCGAACCCCGGCTGCTATTCGGTGCCCCAATCGAGGCCAGGTTCGCGCCAGTCCTGCAACAGTACCGAGTCTGAATCGATGCCGATGGAACCGGAGACGGCGAGGGCGTTGCAGGACGAGCTCACCAACGCGCAGAGCTGGCAGGACACCATATCACTCGACGACAGGCTCTCCCTGACCTTGTCTGAGATCGTCCACATACGGACGGTACTGACGAAGGCTGAACTGGAGGCGTTACCGATTGAGGGACGGGTCAGACACGACGTCGAGAGCCGCAAGGTGTGCTTTCTGTGTCTGAAGACTCGGTAAGTGGAGCTTAAGGTTCTTTGTATAAGGGGGTTTATATGAAACCTTGGCTTTTATAACAGTTTTTATAATTTTATATGGAAACCGTTGGGGTCCCTTAGTTCCGTAAAACGTCCAAGTAAGACCTTAAGTTTTACCATATTGCATCCAAAACGTTTCCGTTAATCTTCAGATTTTCTAAGTAGTTTTTATATCTTTAAAATCTTTAAAGCACTTAATAATTTCTAAACTTTATCTAAATATTTTTAAAAAACGAAAAAGTAAACACAGTTCTGTCAACCGCATATAAGTAAATAACTTTTAAAGTAGTGAGGTTAGGATTGCGTAATGTTTTTATAAATGCCATTTTGGCCACTTTAGGTGTTTCAAAATCGGCTTGTAGGTTTACTGTTTACATATCTTCTGAACTCGAACTGTTAAGTTCTGAATGACGCAGGAGGAATCCAGAAGATTTGTAGATAGTATTACAGTTACCTGTCGAAATTTATTTAAAAAAATGCTTATAAGCACACTGGATATTTATAAGTGGATTTATAAGAAACCTTGGCGTTTATAACAGTTTTTATAATTTTATATTGGCGTTATAAGTGTCGTAAACGTAAAAAGTTTTACTAAATTGCGTCCGAGACGTTTCCGTTACTTTATAAATTTTTCAGGCATTAAACTTAAAGTGCCTAATAAATTTTAAAATATACTTTTAGTTTAGTTCTAACCTTTATCTAAATATTTATAAACAGCGAAACACAGTTCTTCCAACGGTGAATAAATAAACAATTGAAAACTGAGGTTAGCATTGCATAGACATTTGACATTTGCTCAGTAAGAGTTTTCAATTGTTTTTCCAATCGCGAAGGCTATAAAAATGCTATTTTTACAAGTGTTTTAAAAGAATACCATTCTAAACAGTATTCCTGAAACTTGAAGACGTATTTCTTCAAAAATATACGATTAAAACATGGTGTGCATTTCATCAATTCTGCATTTTAGTTCCTGCCGAGTTTTCCATTTTCTCAAAAATGATGATTGTGACATTGTTTTGTCTCCGTTAATTTTTTTTTCGATTTAACTAACCTTTCTCACACTCACAGTCACTTTTTCTCGATTAATTTTTAAGAGTTAAAAAAATCGGTTCTTATTCATTGTGCCACGGATTGTTTTGATCGATGAACTTACAATATAGTGCAGAGAACATATTGGTTACGAAAGATTGTCCCACGAATGTCACTTTGCAAATATTAAACCAGTAATGCTACAAGGAAACTAAGATCGACCTTGCATGGAGGAATTTTGTTTATTTATTTATTTTATTTATTCCCCATCCCAATAACTTGCTGCGCAAGCATTGGGCCATAAATTTTTTTAGCTTTTTCATTAAGAAAAACATTCTTTAACTACTCCAAATACTGCCGGCTAGATGGCGATGGCATCGAAATCGAGATACGGGCGGGCGTTTTTCGTTGCAGGTTCGGTATATTCGGGCCTTGGGGCCAGAGGTGCACGTTGTGCAAGCGCACCGTTTGCACGCGCTGCTACTCCAAAATGAACATCCCGATGGAGCACTTCAACAGCGTGCCCGTGGTCCTGTTGAGTCCGAGCATCATAAGCAGTCCCGCGGAGGGTGGCTCCAAAGAATCCCTTGCCAGATCTTTAATCGGTAAAATTAACAACGCGGATATGTCGGAAGGCAGCGTTTCTGAACCCGACCGTCCCGTATCCGCGATGGATACCAGCATCATCAGCGACCCAGGAGGTGGGTGTGGTCGCAATTGCGTCGCGCAAACCGTTAAGCCGGCACCAGATGGGTAACTGAACTTCGTAACGTAACATCATACAATATTTAGAGTACATTATGAAGTGCTAGCGTCTCATAAGCAAACAAATAAGATGACGTCAGAACCTGATTGCATTCCGGGACTGTGCGAGTGCCCTTGCTCCACCACTTGCAGTTCTACTGAATACGTACATTAAATCTTTCACTGTGGTTGATATCTGGAAGTTGTGCAGAGTTAAACCCATTTACAAAAAAGGTGACAATTTAAATATCAGTAATTTTCGTCCCGTTTCATTACTTTGCAATTTTTTTAACACTCCTTGTACAATCTGGGAAATATCACCCGAGTTGTAGCTGAAAATCTAGACTTGCGATCTCAAACTGACGACCTAAAGTTGTTCTGCAAAATTGATAGTATTCAGAACTGCCAAAACCTGTCATTGAAAGCATATTGAAAAATAGTGTGTCCATAATAACTTATGGTTAAATCTCATCCAATGTAATGTCATGACGTATTCACTTAAAATTATGCTGCCCGAGAAGATCAGTTTACATGTATCGATGCTTTTCTATAAATTCGAAGGTTTTTTCTTTCGACCACTCCATTTTTACAAGAGCGGTACTCTCGCGCATGTACAGGTGGTTTTTATAAGCCTAAACAATTGCGAGGTTCAACCGTAGCAGGTTACGTTACGATGTTCGGTTCCACGTCTGGACCCTGCTATACGTAACGCGTAGTCGGCACCAAAGTATACGTTGGCCATAGAAAAAGTAAATAGAAAGTTTGCACAGATGCACGAGACGCTTGACCTAAAATTATCTCCCATAAATATCTAAGGAACTAAAGTGAATTCGGTTTAAGCAAAATTGACAGTTTTTTTGAATGATTAATTAAAAATTAATAATTCTTGATTCGCAATTGTTTTTGGTAGAAATATTGACGAAACTACAATTGAGCAGGTTCTATGCGTATTTGTCACGGTTTACTTTTTTCTATTAGGAACATAAGTTGACTTAAGTAGAATAAAATACTTCTGATGAGTTTTTAATCAATTTATTTAATTTCTCCGTTTTTTTCTAATCTTTGACTATTAGTTTCTATAGTTAAATTACACACAGCATTTTTCCGTGCCTTGGAACTAATTTATTTTTTACGAAATGGCAACTATTCAAAAAATCTATTAGAACCTAGCACAATGTGATTAAATTTGTGTGTATAGTTCACGTTCGAGTTCCATTACGAGGAAATATATGGGGACTTCGCTTTAGTTTCCCGTTACTTTACTTATAGAACGCCCTGTGTAGGTACAAATAATCTTAACTTATGTCTGTGCTGTTCCTGTGCAACGGTCTAATTTATTTTTTCTTCGATAGCCAACGGTTATTACATTCCCATTTTTATATGAATGATAAAAACGAGGTTAGGTCGTTTCACGCTTGGTCTTGCTGTGGACTGACAGATATTTATCAAAAATTTTGACAGGCGCATTTTCCATGGAATTAACTACCAAAGTTTTGCTGTCACATTGAAAGTCCCATTATAAAAAGTATGGACTTCATCATATATTTTAGTGTAAATGTAAATGTCAAAAGCTAAGTAGAAACTATTCAAAATTAAACATAGAATAAAAGAAAAACTACGGAGAACAAGGAAAATCAACCACGCAACTGCCACAATGGCGAATTTAAATGAAAGTTGAGACTAGTCACCTCAAGTAAATAAACAACAACTAAAAAGTGAGGTTATGATGGCATGGTTTTCTTTTTCCGGTGTTTTTAGTTTTACAACATTTACCAAGGTTTTTATAAATAATTTATAAACTTATTTTTCAGTGCTAATAGCGTCAGCGTCTTTTTTTTTTATAATAATGCAATTTTTGATCGATATAGCCTATATAGACAGGTTAAACTTTTGTAGTTACGGTTTTTAAGTATTGTACAGGGTGTTCGTGATCTTCCGTGCAATATTGAAAAACAACGATCTCGCGTCTTTCAAGGTGCGGCGATGACGCGCAGCCCTTCGAGGCAGGGGAAATTCCGAGCGAACGCGACGGCCGTCGCGAGGACCGCCTACGTGGTGGACCGTTTCAAGGGCTCGCAGATGGTGGTGTGCCACGATTGCAAACTGATGGTTTTGCAAATTATCAAGTCGGCGCGCGCCAACCGCTCCGCCATCAGAAACAAAACGCTGCAGAGCCTCACGCTAAACTTGTCACCGGTATTTTAATTATTATTGTGATAAAATAAGCTGCACGTTGGGTGGGGAGCCCCTCCCGGTCGCCGAAAATGCAAAAAGGTACGCGTTCTGTCGTTATTGAACTAAAGGCCGGTTTTTGCGCGCCGCTACGACTTACCTTACGGATTCGCTAATGTCGTGAACTTGTTGTCACTGGTGGATTTCATTTCAATCGGGATTTCAAGATTAGCGATACGCCACCTGCAGGTCAAATGCTAAACCATTCGGTAGTAGATTGAGGTTATTGATTTTTTTTTATTATTGTAGTGGACGTTTTGTGACCGTCGGGCTCAACAACTATTGTTCAGAACGATTTATTTTATTTTGTGTTTGTGTGCATTTTTGTTTCGATAATGACATCCATAGCTAAAAGTTCAAATTATACGAAAACCAAATTTGGAAAAGAATTCATCGAAAAAAGTATAGAGACTTCGTATTGTCAAACGGCACATATTTCAAGAAAATATTCTGGAGTTGAAGTGCCACAATGCAAAATAATATACTCTGCGTTAAGAACTTTTCCAATATACCTGGAGTGATCATTGCTTCTCGGGTATTTTGCTTAAAAACAGGAATCATTACCAAAAAGCATTTAAAATAATTTCAGTTGCGTGTAAATTTTGTATATGAAACAAATTAAAATTTGGCACACTTACCGACTTCAAATTCCCAAATTTCACGAACTTATATAGCTTTCTCTTTCACTCTAAACAAAAGTTGAAACTGAAAACTAGTCATGTTATGTTTGAATGTACTGCGCTGTAGTTCAAACGGTCGCGCTGCGATCTTATTTGATAATCCAATAATCCAATATTAGAGATGACGTAGCATCTGCCATTTTGGTTGGTAACTTTTCCTTCCTCTTCATGTAGGTTATATTTTGATTTCGATTAAAGTACCTTACCTTGTTGTTTTATTTGCAATTTTAATATTTCCAAAGCAATAATTGAACACAAGTCTATTGATAAATGCTCCCGAACAGTGTTAAGTAGTCTCCATTAATTTAAATGTCAGACAAAAACTTCGCGAAACTTCGACAGCTGGCATCACCCTAATTCCGATGACGTGTCGCCCAAAAACATAAGCAAAAAGGTTTGTTTTGCTTTCTTTTTTCACTCTACGCTTTGCTTGATTCGTACGGAAAGTCGTAACGTGTAAAGCGGTCAATTTGCAGCGAATTTTTGAACGCGTACTCGTACGAGTACAATTCAAAAAAGCTAACGGACAGTACACATTGCCATTTTATAATTCAAACGAACTTTGTTCTTTTGGATGGCGGATTTCAACCAGAATTCATAGTCTACGCGTTGTAACCTTACACAAAGCCAACTATTTTAAAAGGTCTGTTAAAACTTAAATTAGGTTTTTTTTTGCGAGTGATCAGTTAACCACTGCAGGCTCAGAACGATTTTCCTCATTTTATTGTAACATTTCACCACAAGTAATTAGCTGTTCGAAGATTGTAGAAATGTAAAACATAACCAACAAACGTCAGTTATTAATTTACCTAAACCAGTAACCATGCTCATAGACGCAGTTAGTGAATCGGTAACTCGCAAAAAAAATCCTTCAAAATACTGCGACGGTGGTCAAAATGACAACACTCCACTACACATAAAAATTAGTAGGGCGCCTTTTAACCTTTGCTTACACTAAAAATTGCCAATTTACAAACTTATTCGTCTCTGAAACTTTTTATTATTGTTCCAACAATTTAATGAATATTTACGTTCTTCGTCTATGCTTTACGATTTTCGTGGGTCTGTGCTCCATTTTATGTTCTTGAAAAGCCTACGTCAAACGACCCATAGAAGGCGAAATATTTTTTGTTTTTGTTGCGCAAGTTTGTTTGCACGTTTAGCCGCTAGATGCACAGCTCAAGTCAGTTCGCGAAGTGAAAACTGCGCCATAAATTGTGTCTATTTCCAATCTCCAACGCAGTACGTTTTATACAGGTGCGTAAGAGCTATTAACTATGTAGATAGTGTGGGTTGCTGCTGCCGTGGCCTAATACGTAAATTTATTTCCGTTTGCCGTTTTTCGGTACCGAACAATTGTTTTCGAACGGCGTTAGCCCGGGAAGGGCGTGCTCCAACGCAAAATTTAATCTAGGACAAATTTAGATGTTATATCGACGTGAATGTTCAATCTCATGTGATTTTACGGTTATGATCCGATCTTCCTCTTTTGCTCGCCCCACATCCGGTTTTGCCATTACTTTCGATATCGAAAAGAAGTTAATTGGTTTTTCGGTTTCCTTTTCGCGTGTCGCTCCCATACATATCGAATAAAAATAATTTAATTTGTTAAAATGATCGAAATTTCGATTTTCGCGATATTTATTTTTGATTTCAGACCCAACATGTTTTGTGCGTACTTTTTTATTGTCAAAGTTTTAATTTAATATATTTTTTATTTTGTTTTCTACCTTTTCCAAAATTTTTATCAGTATTTTAATTGTGACAATATTGACGTTCAAAAATGGCGACGTTTCGGAGATCATTGTTAAACACATGGTAGGGGTCAGCTTTGCGCAGTCTCATTTATACCTCCGATAAATGAATTATTCACGTTCGCTTACATTGCTTGAAGGTATCCCCTCGAAACGTCGACGCCCGTTTTACTTATCAGTATTTTATTTTGTTTCAACTCTTGATGCACTCGGTAAGAATAGTCATCAAAACCAGTAGTGATACTAGTCTAAAGAATCCCTAGCCTGTTGATATTTAATTCCTATTTATAATTTTAAGTGAACAATAGTGAATTGTATTTAAAATAAATTTAGAAAATTTTATTTTGGTAACTTCGACTTTATGCAAATTCTTCCAAAGATTACGATAAATTGATATAAGATAACTAAAAATAAATATGGCTGTTGAAAATTTGTTTTTTTTTAGGGGAGGGGAAAATCACACAAGAAATTTCGAGTTTCATTTTTTCTTTACTCAGGTATAAACATTATGCGCGGCAAAAATCAACCACAGAATTTAAAACAAGCATTTCAACGCCGGTCTTTCGGGAAAAAATCATGATTGTATAAAAGAGTATAAGTTAGGGTACAATTAATAGGACTAAAATTTCTCTTCGTCTAAGCCGTGCTTGAAAAACATCATAACCGGCACCGATTCTCCGTTAATCTCTCGGTATTCCATTAGCCCCACCAGACCTTCGATTTCCATAGATTCACCCGTGAAAAATTGCAAGTCTTTAAATCTGGATAAGACGTCTTTCATTGCTTTGTTGATATTCGTTTTGAACACTTCAACTTGGTCGGGCGCGTCCTCTTCCAATTTGGGAATTAACCTAACAAGAAAACAATTTTGCAATAATTTTTTTCACTAAATTTGGTCAAATTACTGTCCCCAACAGTGACTTTATTTGTTAAGCAAACTAAATAACAAATTTAAACCACTTAGTGATGATATTGAATAAAATACTCCAAGAAACACATGAGAAAGTGTTTCTCAGTATTAGTACATGCATAAAATTTACATGAATTTCCCATATTTGTCAAAATATGCATCACCAAAGTAAAATGGCAACGATTACTTCTTCATTTAATCCCTAAAGTACAAATTTCATACCACTATTAAATACATTCCTAGCAAACAATATATAAATATACTGTTAAAACGCGAACATTAAAAACAGTAACACTGATAGAACACGGAGACCTTTGCGTCGTGCGTCCATTTTAACAAAAAACAGTTGCATTTTCAATTACTTGAAAATAAACAGGAAATATATTGAGCAACTCTGCAGGTAAAAATACATTCCTTTGGCAAATATGGCCACCAAAATACACTATAAATCACTGCAAAATTGAAATATTTGACAATTCAACATCACCATTATAATTTTTGCAATTTTGTTTTTCAAAGCGCGCTGGGTTATGAAAAATTTCTTATTACGTGTCGGAGTTGCACCAAAGTAAAATCGCGGTACTTACTTTTTCATATAATCCTTAAGGTATAAGGTATACGATTTTTTATCGGGAAAAGCAAACGTTTCTTGCAGTCTGTGGTTTAACACAATGTCGACGCCGCTCTCGACAGCTTCCTCGGTGCCTTCGTCAGCATCTTCCGCAGACGGATTGAAACCCTCTATCTGGACGTCTCCTTGTTTACGTTGCACTAATTTACCGTACACTTCGTAGATAACTTCGTCTATTAATTTGATTTTGTACGTATCGGAGAACATTTCATCGCCTGCAAATAAAAAAAAAGTTACAATAATAAGCTTATCGAAAAGTAACGAAATCCGAAACGCAACAGTGACAGATACATAACCCAACGATGACAGCTGGAACATCGGAATTGCGTTTTTCGAATTACCGCTCACTTAAAATCGAAAATACGCGTCGGGAACGGAAAAGCAAACCATTCGGAACAAAACTTACCCGTGAATTTGTCTTTATAAATTCTCATTTTGGCGGATTGATTGGATTTCTTCTAACTGTAAAAGACAAACCAGCTGACTGCTGCCGAGAGGGCAAGTGAAAGAACTCGCAAGGATGCCAACACTAAGTCGCCTGTGTCAAAAATTAAATCGGACGCTTCTTGTGGAAAATTGGCTATAAGGACCAAAGTCATACGCTTTCATATCGATCTACACATAAACAGGGACTTTTTGCACCTATTAATTTTTCTGACTCATTTTAAACTCGACGTTTTGCGTTGACAAAAGCGAAGTTAGTATGGCACAGGCCAGACAAGCTGCTTCACACCCAATGAGCTGGCAAATTGCTTAAGTCAGAAGACGTTAAGTTTATCGCAATGTAAAATGTGTTTGACGGGGGTTTTGAGGTGGCGTGAATTACAATTACAACCTAATGAAAAAATATTATTTTTCGCTATATTTTTGATAATCAAACCGGTAATGAGGTCCTCAAATAATGTTCACCCAACGGCATCTAACAATATATCAATATAAAATCTTATCACTGTATTAGCTGTATGAAAATCAAATTTCTGTGACTTTGGCCGATCGTCCATTAAAGAAGAAGAGCAAGCTCGATTAACCGCATTGACCCGTCGATTTATTTATTTATTACGAATTAATTTAAAAAAATGTCCGCGAACGATTACTACGTCGCATTAGAGTGCAAGGACTTGCAGGCGAACGCTATGTCCGTCGACAGCACCGGCACGTACGTGCTGCTCGCCGGCAGACGGTGCATAGCGCTCCGGAATCTCAACGAAGAGTTCGAAACGGTCAACAAGTTCCCGAGGCAGAGCAAATACGACGTCGGCGTCGCGGAATGGAACCCGTCGTCTCACCACAAAGAACTATGCGTCATTTCCAGCAACGAGAGGATCGAAGTGCTAACGTGGCGCAAAGAAACGCTAACGCAATCGCACGCGCTCAGGGCCCACACGAGAGTGATAACCGACTTAAACTGGAGCAAATTCGACCCGAATTTGCTAGCCTCGTGTTCCGTCGACACTTTCATACACGTATGGGACTTGAGAGATTCGCGACGTCCGATCTTATCGCTGTCCGCGGTGGCGGAAGCGTCGCAAGTGCGATGGAACCGGATCTCCCCGTATCTGATCGCGACCGCGCACGAGGGCGACATTAAGGTGTGGGATCGCAGAAAGAGCAGCGTACCTATACAGTACATCTCAGCGCACGTGGCCAAAATCCACGGCCTCGACTGGAGTCCCAACAACGAAAATCAAATCGCGTCTTCGAGCCGCGACAACACGGTCAAATTTTTCGACATCACCAACCCGAGACGGGCGGAATTTGTGTTGAGCACCAACGGCCCTGTGTGGCGCGCGAGGTACACCCCGTTCGGTAACGGTTTGATAACCTCGGTGGTGCCGCAACTGAGAAGGGGCGAAAACAGCCTCCTCCTGTGGAATGTGGCGAACCGAGCTGCCCCCATGCACACGTTCGTCGGCCACCGGGACGTCGTGCTGGAGTTTGAGTGGCGCAATTACAAATCGGGCGGGCCCAATTTCCAACTGATCACGTGGTCCAAAGACCAGACCCTGCTGGTGTGGACGATCAAGCCGTTCCTGCAGAAACTGTGCGGCCACGAGCCCGCCGACCTGCAGGACTACGAGGACGAGGTTGCGTCGTCGCCGACGGTCAAAATACAACCGCTCCAACAGGAGTTCTCGCTGCTCAACGTTCACATCCCGAATTTGGATGTGAAAAGCATGGACCCGATCGGCCGTACCGTCACGGCGTCGACGAGGACCAGCAGTATCTCGGTCAACCTCCAGGTATCGTTCCCGAACGCTTACCCGCACGGGGTACCGCCCGTGTTTCAGGTACTGCCAGGCACCAATGCCAACGATTCGGTCAAGGCGCAAGTGTTGCAAACTTTGAACCACCTCGCGCGCCAACGGGTGTCGAAAAATCGCACGTGCCTCGAACCGTGTCTCAGACAAATGGTAACGACGCTCGAACAGCTGTCGACCGACGTCGAAAACGACCGGACGTACGAACCGCAGTACAGCGTCGTCACATTCGGCGGCTACAACGACTCCTACATCCCGTTTCCGAAGACGTCGGGCGCGAAATTTTGTTCCGTCAGCGCGCTAGTTTGTTTCGCCCGGCCGGTAATCAGCCGACGAAATAAAAACGAATCGGCCAACACGCCCCGAGCGTTATCCGCCCTCGAGACGATCCTGTCGAAGATAGCCTCGCCTGATCACATGACCGTCTCCGCGTATTACTTCGAGAAACAAAAACAACGGTCGCGGTCTAGGCACGGACCACCGAGCAAAACGTCGAAAGCCACGGTTCACGTGTACGACGCGACCGGTTTATTTTTCATGAACTCGCAGTTGGCCGAGGAATACATATTGGACGGCGACATAACCACGATTTGTAAACACAACGCGGCGGCGGCCGCGGTCGTGGGCAGGAGGGACCTCGTGCAGGCTTGGACGCTCGCGGAACTCGTCGTCGGTCAGATACGGCACAAAGACGGCACGTTCGGCTCCCATCCGTTCGGCACGCGACTCATGGAATCGTTGATCAAGCATTACGCTTCGCAATTCGACATCCAGATGGCGGCCATGTTGTGTTGCGTGCTGGGCAAAGACGACAAGAACGCGTTCGTGAAAACGTCGACTAGTCCGCCGGCCAGCGCGTCGCTCACGACGAGCGAGCCTTCGTACCATTGCATCCCGTCGGCGGACGTCGTCGCCGAAAGCTGGCTGCCCAGACTGTTGAAAACCACGCGGTCCACCTCTTTGGACAACCTACGAGTGCAGAAAGTGTGCGCGCCGTCGCGAGTGCCCGCGCCAAACTCGTACGTCGCTTTGTACGAGTATTACAAACACGCGTACGCAGAAACGTTGCACCGGTGGCGGTTGTTGTATAACCGCGCGGAAGTGATGAAGTACATGGCCAACTCGATCGACCGTCACAAGGGCGTCGAGTTCGTTGTATTCTGTGAACAGTGCCGCAACGCGGTGAAGAATAACGTGTGTTGCGGGTGCAAGAAGCTGCCGATGCACTGCATCATTTGTAACGTGTCGGTGCGGGGCGCCGTCAACTGTTGCGTCATTTGCGGACACGGCGGCCACACCGAACACCTCGAGGAGTGGTTCAGGCGAAAAGAGGTGTGCGCCAAGTGCGGGTGCAAGTGCCTGATCGAGACGTCGGTCGTCGTGGGCAGTTAGTGCCGCGTCGTGACCTCGCAAGGCGAAACGCTGTGATAATACCGTGCCGCGAAATTTAATAAACGCATTCGTTAGTGTTGCAAAGCGAACCGTTTTCCGTTCGATCCCAGTTGGAAGTTTATGTTGTGACGCTATCCACCCAATGTGAAATTTTCATTTTGTGTGCACTTGCGAATCAAATCGCCGTATCGCGTTTCGGTGTTCTGTGTCCCCCGACCGTTGTGCCTGATTTTAAATATCGCTTTTCCGTGTCAAGATTCAAACTTTCTTTTTCCCATCCCAGTTATCGCAACGGCGAAGTTACGTCACTCGGCGACCTTTTCCAAAACGCATCAAGCGCTCTTTTTTACGTTGTAGACCGTTTAGTTGATTTTTTTATTTAAAGAGTGGGTTTAAACAGAATAAGATATTTACATGCGAACGTAATTTTGTTGCCAGTTGTTGTAATATGCGAAGTATTAATTAAATCTTTAACATAATTATATTGTAGAAATTATTTTTTCTACTTCCCTCTGTAAAATGCCTAATTACACACCGATCTAGCGTGCGGGACGCGTCACTTTACCACGTCAGTTTCGTTCCCCGCGAACCACTTCGGTCATTTCCGGGATGTTTTCGGAGATATTTCTCACGCCTTGAATATTGACGTTTGTCAATTCTGACGGTCCTGTCAGTGAATGTATTCGTGTTATTTTGCGAAAATGTACCCAAAAACTAACGGTCGTAGAAAAAGTATAGTATGCAACACGTTCGGTATATTTTTAAGTCACTCGTTATTGAACACTCGGTCCGCTCGTGTCAAATAAACTCGTGAGTCAAATGCCCTTTACCGCAATTGTTACATAATACACTATAAAAAGTTAAATAATACAAAGCGCTATAGGGGTTTTTCAACCTTATGGTATTCATTTGGGAACACAACCTGTAAGTACTTTCAAACAGAAAATAGCAGTTCATGGTGGGTATATAAGCCATCAACTAAAATGTATGTCCTATACGAATATTTTACTTACAAAATCATTTAAAAATAAAAGTAAAAATAACAATAAAAACATCTTTGGGTTTATTGATTTTGTAAACATTTTTTCGTACACGTGAGTGTGGAGGCTGTTAATCTTTATAGGTTGTTTTCTCCCGGTTTTCCTTTAAATACTTATCCTTATAAATAATCTTGCCGTGGCAAGGTGTCTTCATAATAATGTTCAATAAATTTTTCATATTTTTCGCTATCCATTTACCGCCATCTTTCGTACATTTCTAAATCCAGATTTGTTAAAGTTCTTTAAGTTTGGGAAATCGATAAAATGATATTTCTTCAAATATTTTAATACCTTTATACTCGTGTGGTGGGATGTCAAAGGAATCGTTTTTTTTGAGCTTTTGCCGGACAATACAACGATTAATTCAGAAGTCTATTGTCATCAACTGGACAAATTGAATGATTCACTTAAAGAGAAGAGGCCCGAATTAATCAACAGGAAGGGTGTAGTGTTCCACCAGGATAATGCGAGACCTCACACAAGTTTGGTCACTCGCCAAAAACTTTTACAGCTTGAATGGGACGTACCGCAACATCCACCATATTCTGCAGATCTGGCGCCTTCCGACTACTATTTGTTCCGGTCCCTGCAAAATTTTTTGGATGGCAAAACCTTTACCTCAAATGAAGATGTCAAAAACCACCTGAAGCAGTTTTTTGCCAGCAACGACCAAAACTTTTATGAGAGGGGAATTATGTTACTGCCAGAAAGATGGCAAAAGGTGTTGGACCAGAATGGCCAATATATAATTTAATAAAATATTTATTCATTATACGAAAACTGTCTTTCATGTTCCCCAAAAAAAACGAAATGACTTTCCGAACAACTCAATATTTAGGGATTGGTGAAATGTCATTTTTTATGGTATCATTTTTACCGTTATTTTGTGGTCAGAGGTTTTCTCGTGCTGTGAATAAATTGCTTTTTTAAAACCGATTCGATATGTTTTCCTCCAGGTTCTGAATGTAATTTATCGACAATGGGTGTGACGCAAACAAGGGAGAATTTAATTAGATTAGCTGCCTTTGGGAAGGGAACGTTGTGACGTCATTGTGTGTGACGATTACCGTGTTATGCTTCGTCCTCAGTTCTAATTCTCGAGCAAGTGAATAGTCCAATTAAAATTAACCTTATTTATATTATTGACACTAACCACTGTGTTGTCTGGCTTCGCCAAAGACAAATTTCAAGAATGTGTCGTCCATCCATCAAACCAAATGTAATCAACGGTGAAATGTCATTTGTTGCGACGTTGTTTTGTGGTCGAAGCTTTCCGCGTCGTGTGGATGAATTGCTGTTTTAAACCAATTCGATTTGAGCGTTATTTAGTTTTCGGTCTTTTCCTGCGCGTTCCGAGTGTTATTTCCTGGAAATTTCGAAATGGTTGCGGTGGAAACCGACGTGGAGATGAAAAGTGCCGACAGCCCCGCCGGTTTGGAAGCGGGCGACACCAAAAGGGACACGGACCTGCAGAGTTTCCTCGAGATTCGCGAGCAGGCGAAGCAAATCGAGAAAGCGGTCGTGAGCAAAGAGAACCGTTTCATCCTGCGCGTTCTCAGGTGTTTGCCGAACACGCGACGTAAACTGAACGGCGTAGTGCTAAGGAGTCTAATTGCTCAAATATATCCGCCAGCTGAACGGGAAGTGTTGTTGGCTTTCGTGGAAGAGCCGGCCGGGGAAATCGACAGTACGCAAACGCGGACGAGGTCCGCCAACAAAACGCCACTGCCGGAGGTGGACGCCTATATCCACCTCCTCATATTGGTTCGTTTAATCGATACGAATAAGTTGGAAGACGGGGTTAGATGCTCCCAGGCGCTGATGAATAAAATCGTTAGTCAGAACAGGCGTTCTATAGATTTGGTCGCAGCCAAATGTTATTTCTATCACTCCCGAGTGGCCGAGCTGACGGGCAAGCTCGACTCAATACGGTCATTCTTGCACGCGCGTCTTCGAACCGCAACGCTGCGGAACGACTTCGAGGGTCAAGCCGTGCTGATAAACTGCATGTTGAGGAATTATTTGCACTATTCTCTGTACGACCAGGCGGATAAATTAGTAAGCAAATGCGTTTTCCCCGAGACCGCGAGCAACAACGAGTGGGCGCGATTCTTGTATTACTTGGGACGCATCAAAGCCGCACGTCTCGAATACAGTTTGGCGTACAAGCACCTAGTGCAGGCTATGAGGAAGGCGCCGCAAAATACCGCCGTAGGCTTCCGTCAGACGGTTCAAAAGCTCTTGGTGGTTGTGGAATTGTTGCTCGGCGACATACCCGAGAGGCAGATATTTAGACAAGCGAGCATGCGACATTCGTTGGCCCCGTATTTTCAACTGACTCAAGCGGTAAGAATGGGAAACTTGCATCGTTTCGGTGAAGTGTTGGAGAACTTTGGACCCCAGTTTCGGCAAGACCACACTTACACTCTGATACTGAGGTTACGTCACAACGTTATCAAGACCGCCCTCCGTGCTATAGGCCTGTCCTACTCTAGAATTTCGCCCCAGGATATAGCGAAAAAGCTGGGTCTGGATTCGGCCGAAGACGCGGAGTTTATTGTCGCCAAAGCGATACGCGACGGCGTAATAGAAGCGACTTTGGACCCCGAAGGTGGGTACATGCGCAGCAAGGAAAGTACCGACATTTACTGCACGAAAGAGCCCCAGATGGCTTTCCACCAGAGGATCTCGTTTTGCTTGGACCTGCACAACCAGAGCGTGAAGGCTATGCGGTATCCGCCGAAAGCCTACGGGAAGGAGTTGGAAAGCGCGGAAGAAAGACGGGAAAGGGAACAACAGGATCTGGAATTGGCGAAGGAGATGGCAGAGGAAGACGACGACGGATTTCCCTAAATAGTTGCTTAGGAAATAGTGTATGCTACTGTTTCTTCATTCATTTAATAAATATTTATCCCGAGCCTTATTTCCTACGCGCCCTTGCCCAAAACGCATGGAATTCCACAATTGAGCAAAAAACAAAAAGATTACGATAAGTATCGAATTAAAAAAAATGTTCAATTCGCGAATTTGTACCGTTTCAGCTATATTACACGGATCATTAGCGAGTAAATGTTTTTAGCACACTTGAAACACTAATTTTTGATGAAATTTCGATAAAGTCACACCAAAAATATATGCAAAATGTAATGGTCGCGTAGGAAAACTTCTTCAGACCCTCACAATTGGGTATTTTAGAATAGCCAATAGACAAAGAGTAGTTAAAACTAAGTATCTTCACACTAAATTGGGATTACTATCAATGTATAGCGTAACAAAGAATAGTTTTTTCTTACGATTACAACGCCATCTATTGAGAAGTTCAAGCGAATCCAAGTGATTACAATCAGTTTAATCCTTGACAAACTGGACTTAATATTTACACGTTCACTTTAATCAGATCAGATGACATAACCTCACATCATATGAATTTCACTTAAATCACGGACGATACATTTTCTTAAGATGTCTCGAAGTCGTTAACGTTGAATTTTCTCTCGCAAAGAATTGAAATAAAAGAAAACGCCATTAGAAAATGTTTTTTTTATTAATTAATCTCAATTTAAGTTAACTTTCAGTCATACTGATTGTATTATAAATATATCAATATTTAAATATTAACTTTACTGTAAACTATACGTCACTATATACAGTAGAACCTTGATAATGTACAACTGTATTAACTTAGGTAATTTGACGGTACGCGACAATAAAAAAAAAGTAACAAAACAAAAACAACAAATGGTAAAAAAAAAGCAAACGGTTATGGCAATTTTCGAAAGGCTCAAATCGAGCAGCGGAAATTCGTACACTGGGATTGTAATGTACCGAATTGGCCGGCACGTAAAAATCGAGAATTAAATAATAATAAAAATTGTGCTAAAATAAGATCACACCCAGGCCGGTTCCGTATTCGACTGAGATCAGGACGAGAACGATAAAATTTGCCACCTTGCGTCGTTAATAGAAGTAAATCCAAGTTTTAGTGATGACGCAACATCCGCCATATTAATTGGTAACTGTCAACGTTTGGAATTCAGACAAAACAATTTCCCGTATAATTTTTTAGGGGCGTTTCAATTTTTGTCAGAGACTATTTAACGGACTTCGTGATAACTGCATAGTTCACTAATAATGATCAAGAAATCTTTTAAATAGTCTGCAATAATCAAATTTCACACAAAAACTGAAACAATCCTATAACCTTTTAGGACAAATTGGTTTGTTTCGTTTCCATACTCCGATAGATGACGTCACGCGAATATATTGATGAATCTACAACAGCGAATTCTTTTTCACCTACGACGTGCTCGATCACGGACCATAGAATTATAAAAACGCATGACAGATTCGATTTCAGACGCAGCCGTTAGGTGTCGCTCGACTAGCCAGTTTTTATCGTTAAAGGAGGAAAACCGAGGGTTTTGCGTAATGAAACCAGACTAACGTTTTAAAACATTAATCCTATGTCACGTGGGTTAGGGTAGATGATGAAAAAAGTGCAAAATAACCAGGCAAGTATTAAACTTGGATTTACTCCTTACCTGATTCATTGGGATTGCCAATTGCATCAACGTTTTAAAATCATAAAGCCCTTATTGACACAACTTTTATTAACGACGCGATTAATGTCGGAACCGCCTGTTAAACTTACATCGATAAAAAAACACAATGGCGCTTATGATACTCGACCGGAAACATAAATCGTAAATAAAAAATAACCAAAAAAAAAAAAGAGATATACTTCACTCCCTAATCACAGCAACAGTTTTAACAATCAATAAGCAATTGTTTGATCTAGTCGAGGGAGCTTCTAAAATTGATTCCGGAGCGAACGGGAGGCGGGGGCGAAGCGCGGGACTCCAGTTTTTTCGTTCGTGGGTTTTAATAGGCCACAGATGGCGCTACAGCCGATGTGGAGCGGGGCGAACTTAATGTGAAAGAAAATAAACATTTTCAAGCGAATGAGATTCCAAACAGGTGACGTTATCACACAGGGTGTTTGAACAATTTTATACAAAACATAAGGAGGCGAAAGCGCAGAGCCAAAAATTAAATAAAAACAAATAAACACGATTCCCGTTGAGACCAACTACCTTCAACAAATATATTTTTTTACACACTTGGTTTTCACAGTTAAGGAAAGTTACAAAATGTATCCTTATTTTGATGAAACACGTGACAATTGGCTAAAATAAACCTTTATCCACCATTTGTAAGTCAGCGTTTCAATATATGAACATAACCAACACATAACCTTAACCTCATTGTGCAAACGTCATTTGGAGAGGTTACACTTGACAACATGGTCGACATATTAAAATAAACTTATGACATTGAGACATTTCGTTGGTGTAGATTGTCCCTGTGTCCTACCCACAGTACTGATGACGTCAAACATGACAAGATGATGGACGTATTAAAAAAAACTGATGTGACGCGATTGGACATTGACATCGGACAGAAAATATTAGAAGCCTAAATAAGTGAATTAAAGCAAAATAAGTAGTAAACACATTCAAGACGACACATAGAATAATACAAGGTAAGATTGGAGGTAAAAGATTCCTGCAAGAAGACCACAGAATATGAGTCTTTTTAACACAGTTGTAGAGGATAAGACACCATTTACCTTATTTTTATAATTAGGTAGTACTCGAACTAAATTCAATGAAAAAGATGTCAGCTCATTATCGCAAGCATTCGATATTCAGTGACGTCATACGGATGTTTACGATAGTAACCTTATTTTGATGAAACGAAAAAGAAAACCTTGTGTACAAAGACATCTCCTAGGTCCATGGCAAGATTGATCGACATATTAAAAGAAAGTGATGTGATGGGACTGGACGCTGAAACCGTACTGAAAAGGTTTAAAGTATTTGAGACGTGGTCGTTACAAATAAGGTTCTCCAAAGAGCGAACGAAGCAAAATAAGTAATAAACACATTTAAGACGCAGAATAACACAAGATAAAATTGAACGCAAAAGGACACCTGGAAGAAGACGAAAGAACGTGGGACTTTTGAAAACAGCTGTATAAAGGATAAGGCACCTTAAGAATACGACGCAAATTATTATCTAAACCTCCCCCCAGGGCCTGTGAACTTTTTCGCTCTCCTTTCACATCCTTGGGTTTTGAATCTTTCTCTGACGTCGTCGTTTATCCTCCCCCTATTTTATTAAAAAATAATGCGTCGATTTCAAACCCCTTGTCCGACCGAAAAGGTTAGAAGCAGAAATAAAAAATCAAAGCAAAATAAGTAATAAACACATGGAATAATACAAGGTAAGATTGAAGGTAAAAGGCTACTGCAAAAATAAAGGATAAGATGTAAGGGTAATTTACCTTGTTTTTATGATTGGGTAGGACTTAGGATTTGCACTAAACTCTGTGTCATTGTCGCCGTCATATGGATATTTAACAACCTTAAATTTTCGGGCACTTGGTTGTCACTGTTAGGGATAGTTACGATGTAAGTTTTGGATAAAATCAACCCTGATTACTATTTCTAAGACCACCCACGGTATTTAATAATCTCAAACATGGCAAGATGATCGACGTATTAAAAGAAACTGATGTGACGGGACTGGCATTTGAAACGAGGTCGTCTCAAATAAGGCTCTCTAAAGAGTGCACAAAGCAACATAAATAATAAACACATTAAAATTGAATAAAATGGAAGAAGACCGAAGACTTTTGAAAACAGCTGCATAAAGGATAAGGCACCTCACGAATATGACGCAATTTATTATCTAAATCTGCCCCAAGAACCTTTTTCGCTCTCCTTTCACATCCTTGCGTTTTGAATCTATCTCCGCCGTCATTTATCCCCCCTTATAAGTAACATATTAAAAAACAATGTTTCGATTTCAAACCCCTTGCCTTCTACTAAAACCCAAAGGCCGCCGAAGGAAAAATTTCGACCCCACAAGACCCCCCATTCGCACGACCTACTATTTATATACACACCGGGCCGTCGCACGCCACTGTCCGGGCCGCTATCATTTGTCCCCGCTGTCCGACTGCACTGGACTGTAACGCAACCGGTACGTCTTCTTTTGCGTGATCTCCTCGATGTTCTGCTGGCTGCAGTCGGGGCCCAGGTGGCCGGGGGCGCCGCAGTTGTAGCAACCGGGCGGACTCCTCAGTTGGGGCGTCGCGGCGCCCGCCGGCTGCTGCTGCGGGAGCGGGGGATAACTGGAATACATCAGGGAGAAGTAAGGGAAGGAGTAAGTGGGGAAGGGAGTGGTGTCCGCGGCCGCGCAGCTCGGGTACGGGTACTGCGCGAATCCGGTCACTGGGGGTCGATACGCCGACGTCGTCGTGTAATGGAACATCGACCTGCGTTGCGCAATAAAAACAGACGCTTTAAACACCCGCAAGCGCCATCTGGCGTGATTTTCATACGCGTACTCGAACCGGAGGTATGTATTAAAAAAAAATAACTCCAAATTATGTAGTTTAAATTCCCAAAAAATAAATAGAAAGCGTCGCCATCAGGCTTGGGTTGGGATTGAATCCTTAAATTTTATTTAAAAATAAATTTTCGAACGCCCTAACGGCACCGTTTAATTACATTTAGTCTGCGCCAAATCAGCTCCTTATCAGTGGAAACAACGCTGCCAAATTTAAAACAAATCCGTGAGAACATTGTTCATAAAATGATCTGAGGAGACACCCCGTGTATATTAAAATGGCCGTGGCGTACCTGTTCGGCGGCAACGTCGCGAACGTCTGGAAGTTGTTGAAGGCGGGCGGGGGAGGAGAGGTCGTGTCACAAAGCGGCGCGTAAGGCAAACCGTTCGACCTGGCTTTGTCCAGTGGCCCCCGTCCCAGGGGCGTGGAATTGGTCGACGCGCAGTTCGACGGCGTATCGGGCGGCGTCTGATGCGGACTACTGCAAAACAAACCGGATTTTTTTTTATTTTCTTTTACTCAAAAACGATTTCCCGAGAGTCGTAATCAGGATAAAATAGTATAGTAGTGTATAGAGTACTTCACCGCCCAGTTGGAACCGAAAATGGCGCACGTCCTTGGGAGGGAATCGTTTTCTGGAAAACTGTACTACAAAGCAAGTAGTTTTTTTTTTGGATTTTTCCGGCAGATTAAAACGGTCAAATTAGCAGTCTTTTTGCACTCTCTGATTGTTTCCAAATTAAATTAGATTTTGGCTACTGGCCAGGCTGACGGGCCAACTCGGCCATCGGCGAAGAACACGTCGTGTAAAAAAAAAAACAAAAAATAAAATAAACTGATAGTAAGCTTTATTGTCGCAAACAAAAAAAACACAAAAGTACTGAGTAAATATAACAATAGTCATAGTAGGTCTGGCTTTCCGCTATACATATAATAGAAATACACATAGTCAATCGTGAGCGGGCGTTATAATATAGGGCGGGTTCACGATGAGCGATGATGGTCACGTTTTTTTGGATCTCCGCATCGCTTTGTTAGTTTGTCTGCAAACAAATCCTGCGTCACAACCCGCCACTGTCCAAGTTAGTGAAACTACGAGGGATGTTTCCAAAGTTCCCCGAATTGTGCTATCATTAAATGACGCGGAACTTACAAGCAAAGTAATCTTTGCAAACATGTTTGAAAGAAGGTGTGAAAACATCAGAGATGTAAGTAGTATTTTGGTGAGTGTCTAGAATCTAAAAGAGGATCGATCTTTTTAAAAGCACTAGAACGTCGGTAAATAAATGAAACTAAACGACGGTAAACTAATAACTATTCGTCAAATTAATGTACGCCTAGGGAGAGGGACAGGACAAATTTGGCATGACAAGGCTTTAGAGCTGCAGCAGCGATGCTTTAATGCATGAGGTTGTCACCTCCAGGAAATATTATTACACATCCATTTGGAAATTTTATTATTATCATTACTAAAGGACATAAAACCGCAGAAATCGCTAATTTATGCGTAAATGAAAGATTTTATATAAGACTTCAAAAGTTAACAAAAGTAAATCCAAAATAGTAAAAAAAAAATATTTTGGATTTGTATTGCCATTTTTGCATTCGCGCACCACTGGTTTTATCTGTGAAAGAAAACTTTGTCATTGCAAGTCTAGACAAGTCAGCGCATGTGAATAAACATCAAACAAGTAGCGTATTCTTTAGTATTAGTTTGTGCCTTGTGCAGTGAATGTTACAGTTCCGAGGTATTTGACTCAAAAGGAATTAGAGACGGCTATGGAGGAGATCGCGATTGATGAGGACAATAACAATGAAAGTCGTCAGTATTATTTGGATTTACGTATTCTTATATATTGCAGCATTCCATTCCTTGCAAATTTATGCTGAGAATAACGTGAAAAAATATTTACAGAACATATTGACCTTGACTGACGAAGATGATATGAACGATAACGTAAATCTACAAGAGTTTGGGGAACCAACTGATACCGTTGGAACTTTCAAGTTACATACACCGAATGGTACAGCTGTCCTTCAACGGTCCTGTAATTCATCAACTACTGAACCTAAATGGGACTCATCAGATGATGAAACCCCGGAATTTAAAAGAAGTACAATCACACACCTATATCCGATGAATTTAGATCATGTGAGGAAATAAATAATAGGCTTTCTGGAAAAACTACGTTTGAAATATTTTTAATGTTTAATGTTTAATCTTACATTTCTTTGCGACCTTTAAAAACTGATAAAACAATTACTCAAAGAAATCTTGCACCTGCCATAGATGAAGTGCGTTATGATAATCAAGGTCACCTCCTGATTGTTCATGCTAATAAATCCCGAAGGAGATGTAGAATTTACATGCTTTGTAAAATATCACCAAAAATGAAACCGGGTTTACCATAAAATATTATGCGTTTTTTTTGTATCAAATCTATTTAGAAAACAATCTACTTTTAGTTGTTGTCTTTCTTTTGTATATTTATGTATAAATTATATGTTACATCTTATGTACCCCAAAACATTATTTAATGTTTTTTCTCAGTGGTTTCGAGTTTTTTTTTTTTTTTTTTGGCACATATAATGCATTCTTAAGTGCAACAAAATAAATAATTTCAGAGCAAAAAGTATTTTTTTAATGCTTGGGATAATATGGGTTAATAGGTCTAAGACTTATCAAAATGTGAATTATTATAGTGATAAGACCGAAAGTCAATCCAACCTGAAGATAAATTAAAGTGCGTCTATTATAAAAATTGTTACGTGTATTGAGGCGACTCGGACAAAAACGTTTCGGCTTAAAAAATTCCTTTATCGTTAACTAGTTAAATGAAGATGATACGGAAAAACTACATTATAATATTGACGAGGATTAACAAAATAACAAAAATCATAGCTAGATTTCTAGAACTTCGGAAACATCCCTCGTATATTTTAGTTCATTTACATTGAAATGAGTCAAATCGTAGCTAAAGTGGTGATGTAGCTTTGTGACACCCGCTGTAAACGAAAATTACCAAATTCCAAATAACAAACCAACCACAACGAAACGGGTTCCATATTATCGATACAAGGGGTCTCTCATAAGTTACAGTCGAAATCCATTATTTTTCAAGAATAATCTCAATAATCTTCTTGCGTGGTGTAATCGGAGTTTCATCGATCTCGACCCTTCCACCTGAAATTCTTCATAAAATCGGCATTCGTTATACATAGTATATGTTACTATGGTTTTAACACATTTATTTCCAGATCGGCGGAACTACCAAATTGACTTCTTTGCACCTGCGTCATGTCCTGCGTACAAATATCTAGTTAACATTACTTTTAATTTTCATTTTTAGTTACCTTTTTTATTATTTTTACCCTTAACAGTCAATTTTGTTTTGTTATTTACGTTTTTTTAATTTAACTTTATATCTGTACTAGTATTTATTATTAACCTACTGTGATTTGAAGTTCAGCATTGGACTATACCGGTAGATAAATAAATAAATATATAAATAAAATAAATAAATAAAAAAAAGACGAAATTTCATGTTTATTACTACTTTTCAACCATAACCTATGAGACCCCCTGCATATAGCGAACAATGGACGCCCGTAACACCGCAGTTTTAAAAAGCTGGATGAATGACGAATCGCTTACGGACCACCCTCCTACCGACACCCCCCGCGTTGTTCACGTACCTATTACTAGAAGAGTTCGAATGATAATGCACGGTATCGTCCAGCGTCATGGATTGCATCTGGTCTACTACCGACGACCTGACGTTGCCCATCGGGAAGGGCAGCCTCATGCCGTTGATACGTTTGACGTCGCCGGCGGCGACGGTCGACCAGGACAAGAACGTGCCCTTGTTGTTGCCTTCGTCCTTCATGTTGCATAGCTGGAACGAAGGATTTCTTTACCACAAAATCACTTTCGTTGCTTCATCTTTTCTATTTTCGGAACATTGTTTTGATAGCTTCAGATCTCTGAACGAACATAGCAACGGTTCAACAAATTCATGAAGACATGAAGGCATAATATAAGACAATGACTTTTTCAAATTTCATTAAGTCCTGTTGGGCAGAATCACATTTACAGGTAAAATTCGAGCCGAGAATAAATAAAACAAGAGAACAATTTTTCTGCTTAACATAATCTGTTCTATTTTGCAATATCAGTCTAAATGAATGAAATACAGGGAAAATAAAAAAAATATGTTTTAGATAAAGTGCCCTCTAGTGACAGATTTCTGAAACACTTAAGTTATAACTCGGAAAATATGATTTCGAATGACCTACTACCATTATTTTGCCCCCGTTAAAACTTTGCGGAATACTACCTCGGGCGGCGAATGGGGCGGCTGCTGGTGATGACTAGACGCCGGGGGCGGCTGCAATGGTTCGACGGGCAGGGGCATCAGCGGCGGCGGGGGTGGCCCCACCGGCAGGGGCGGCGCGGCGTGGGCGAGCGCCACCGCGGGCTGCACCAGCGGCGACGCCAGTACCGGCAGTGACGGAGGCGGCGCGGGGGCCCTATTGGGGCGGGGCGTCCGAAGGGGCGAGGTGCCGCGGCTTTGGTTTGGTGAGCACGCGCGGCTGACTAGGGGCGACGAGTTCGGCGGGGGCGGTTGGCGAGACTGTGGAAATGGGGGCACCTGAATATCGGTAATTGCCACACGTTACGAGAATGTCGTCGCTACCGGACTATCGGCGAAAAAAAAAAAAAAAAAAAAAACGAGGGCGGCGAAAGATCGCATATTTCTCCTTACTTCGGGTGCTCCGCACACTATGCCCGGCCACGTTCTCAGCGGGGAGACGAACTCCAATTGGGGCATGCCTGGCGGGTGCATCGGAAAAGTCGCCGGCACCGTGTTCTCTGGCGGCAAGCTCTGGAATAGAGAAACACCCGGATAACGTATAATAACAGCAAAAAAAAAAGTTTCTATTTTTTTCCAAATTTTCTTCTTTTTCTTCTTCTGATCGTCTAGATTAGCAGGACCAAAAATTTCAATGGCGAATCGACAAAGAGCAAATTTATTATAATGTTTGAATACATAGGTCAACAATTTTACTTTTTAAAATTGCCTTCGAGCCGAGCCTCCTGTCCGCGACGTTCTGTCGCAGAAAATAAATTCCATTTTTGCATATAGTGACGCCTCCGAAGACGAAAACATAATTTGTGCTTTCTTTTTTTCATCAACATAAAAGAACCGATAAATGTAAATCTGGGTTGATTTTTAAGCATTATTTTTAATAGTACAAGAACAAAAATGGAATTAAAAAATCCAAATTTATTAAAGAAACCTCAAGCAGCTATTTTTAATAGTTTTTGAAGAACTGCCTGGAAAAAAGCATACAGTATCGGCCTTAAAAGAGCAAATTCATTTATTAAAAAAAACAAAATTCAGTTACAATACTCTTGCGAAACATCCTTGTTCTGCAGCCATTATTTTCAATATCTACTCATGTCCTAAAAGTTTTTGGAAATTCTGTATGAATTTTTAGGCCGTTTTTTACCTATTCTACATATTTATATATATATATATATATTTTTAACAATAAAATAATATAAAACATACTTTAGCGTTACTTTAAATCTGGGGACAAATCTAGTGACTTTTGCGTCGCCAACCCACTAAATGTCAATGTTGATTTACTGACATCATCACTTTCGTTTTCAAAATCAGTTAGGAAATAATTGAAAATTATTTTATGTTCTAAAAAAATTGTTTAACGCTTGTTATGCGGCATGTTTCATAATAAGATGGATAATAAAGGTGCTTGGATCATTTTAAACAAAACTTTATATCAATGTAAGTCCGCAGTCACTTTATTTTTACTACACAGAGTGTATCAGAAATACTCCAGCAATTTTTGAAGCGGCACTACCTCAAGTATAATGATCAATAAGAAAAAGACCCGGAGCATGCATGCTTGCGGGTGGTGGTCTCTTTCAACAGCTAAATGTTTTAACTATGTTTAACTATGAAATAAGACTTTCACACAAAGTCAAGAGATCATACCAAGAAACGAACACACAATTTTAAAAATTTTTGAAACAAACAGAGGCAATATCATTTTTACCAATAAAGATGATGAAAGAAAAAAAAATCCACAAAAAAGGGTTTTCATGCTACCCAATATCAACAAAATGTCTAACAGTTGCAATGTATATAAAAAATAAAGCACATTTTTTTTAAATCATGAAATTAAGAATGAGCCTCTTATTATGAAACACCTAATTGAGCCATTTTATCCTTTCTCTTCACACAAAACAAAGAGAAGAAATTGTTCCAGAAACTATTCACCCGAATCAAATAAGATTTTCTACACCACGAAATTCACTAACCTTTCTTTGGAGGGTGGGATATCCGAATCCGGGGGGATAACTATAAGGGGCGGATTTAAAGCGATTGTCCCTTATGTCGCAAAGCTGGACGAGTATCCGACTAAAAAACTCTTTTTGGTCAAAAGTAAATGCTGGATGCCGCGAGGCCATAGTAAACAACAACAAAAGTTCATTTTGCACCATATCGTCTTTCTCTTTCGAAACTAACTCCTCAATGTAGTCTGTCCTTAAGAACTTTTTACAGTACCAGTTCGCGACGTTATAATTTCTAGATTTCAAAAGAGAAATGTTCAAAAGCACTCGATGACGCACAGCCTCCTCAAACAGCGTTTGATTTTTAAACATCAAATCTTTGTCGAGCTTCTCCAGGTCGTTGGCGAAGAATGCTTGCTGCTTGAGCTCCTGGTAGCTGTACTTTCCTATTTCTTCTAAATAACTACCAACGAACCTCAGTTCAAATGGAACGCACATATTTATTAGTTCACAAAAAATATCTATCCGTTTATAACTATCCAGGTCCTTAAACCATGCTATAAATTCCTCTTTACACACCATCTCCAGAACACATCGATGTTACAAAGCCAGTTTCTGGAAAATTTAAAGATACTTTACATGGCTACATTTGTGACATAACCTGTTCCAATACTTACATCCAATGCATTCAGACACATAATAAAATGCATTGGGACCCTGGTACGCGCATTCGGTAAAACATCAAAATATTTACTACGTGAAATTATTAAATAACGAAATCGGAAATTTTCCAGTTTTATGCCTACGTCTATTGACACTGACTGAGAAAAAGAAGCCAGAACGCTTGATTTAGGAGTATGGCGTTATTAACTGAGTCGCGCCGAAAGTTTACTTAAAAAATACTATATTCATTACTCGATTCACCAAATCAATTGCTACACTCGCAAGAATCGGCCAGTCGGAGTCTCGGACACATCTAAGAAATAAATACATTCGGGAACTATCAACATCTGATATTATGGCGGTAAAATGCCATCCGTTCAAAAATAAAAATGGTTTGGAGGGGTTTCATGCATTTTATCGTCTCGATTGATTTTTTTAAAGCGCAAAAAAAGGAGCCGTACAACAAAATTCGATAAAAACCCGAGTTTAGCGGCGGCACAAACACTCGCATGCAAAAAAAATTCACGTGTTTCACGTACGCCACATTGAACCGTGACCTACATACGCCAAAAGTCCCTATTAGCCATTGTGATACAACGATTTGGTGTCATTTCCTCTTCAATTTTATCCTTTTCTTTTATTTTTTTGTCTCTTTATCGTCGCACCCCTATTAAAAGCACGTTTAGCAACAAGTTTTCTTTGATTTTAATTTATTTAAACAAGACGAAATTCATTACGTATCCTAATATCCCGATATTTAAAAAAAATAAATTTGACTAAAATCACCAAATATGGATTAATTTAAAGTCATCCAGATTAAGACAGATCGGTGCGTTCGCCACCTGCGAAGTACTTGAAATGACTTTATTTTTTGCATAAATTGTTAATCAAATCATGTGTTAATGTTTATTTAAAATTTAATTAGATCACAATAAGTCTTTTGTAATTTAAGATAAGAATTGTCCCAGTGGGACACAGGCGTTTCAGCTCTCTAAAATTTATCCACTTACCTTTTGCATTCTGTGCTCATTTCATTATTGCAAGTGTTTTATCTATGTATCATGTTTGTTTTCATGAAATTGTATGTTTAACTCCGACGAAAAATGTAAAGTCACAATAAGTTATTCAAGACGCAGTTGTAGAAGCTTGGGATGAGGAAATCCGATCCGATATAATTTTCAACCGTAATGCAATTCTTTTAATGGTAAGCTCAGAGATAGAAAACGGCATTATAATGTATTGTAACATGCAACATTTGCTATCTGACCATCAAACGCAATACTGCGCAAAAAGACATTTTATTTCCCAAGTCCTTGTTTGCCTTTCGTTAATTAGTGCCCTAGCGAATTAAACTCAAATAAAAAAAATGGTTGGGTGTATAGTTTCTGTTCATTTCAGGGCGATGTTCAGCCAATCAAACAAAGAACAAGATATTGGTCGTTCAGTGTCAAATCGACCTTTCCAATCCTGATCTGTGTATAATTCGCAAACATTTATTGGTGGGTTAGTTAGTTAGTTCAGGCAAGCACGAGTAGAAGACCCGGACTTATTGCAGCGGTGCCATCCCGAGTTAAACAATAAAACCCATTACTTGAATCAGACACAAATAGGTGGCGAGCAAACAATTTGCGGTGTCGTCTCTTATTCATTCGTTGCTAGAACTAATTGGGGCGTGCATCAATAGATGCCAGGCGCTAATCTTCTCATAGTAAATTTAGTTCCCTTAGGCACGTAGCATTAGTTCGCGTTGATCTAATCCTAGCACCTAAATTCTCGCAGTTCAAGGATTTCAAGGAATTATATTAAAAAATGACACCTTAATTTAAAAGAATTTATTTTATATAATAAACAGCTATTATAAAAGTTCTTCGGGCTCACTCAAGGAGGAAAGACACGTTTGCAACACCCTGTATTGATGTTTTGTGTTCTCGCTTTCCTAAAGATAAATTCTTCTCACCCCTAAACATAACGGGAGTAGACACACATTTTACGTATAAAGGAATTACTAGAAAGCTTAAACTAACTGATTAATGTCAGGACAGATTAAATCACGAATTAAACAACATTAAAACTTGGCATAGAGAACAAGATTGCTTTTGCTTATTATAAAAGCAAAGAGCTTCGTGGCTTCGTGTGGTAAACAGACGCATTGTTTTTCTATCGTGCTCTTGCGGACCACTATGAAACTTTGGCAAAATCGATGCAATTTAATTGTGCATGGACCCTGTATAAAATGTCCTTCACATCTCATCAAACTTCAAAGTTACAGCAAACATCGGAAAATATTAAAATTTGCACAAATAATAGCGTTGTCGAATTTTTTCAAATATTTCGCGCCCCGTATAATTGACGAAACTTGAAACTTCCTCACGACACGGTTTACGATACTGTTCAAATAAAATTATCCCATCCTTAACGGTTTTTCATTTAACGCCAATAATTTAATCACAAAAACGGAAACTTTTAGGAAATTTTAGATTTTTTGCCCATAAACGGCACAATCGTTGTTCGAAGTAGAGGTTAGAGCCCTGGATTTCAAAAATTTTTTGAAAATAGTAAAAGGTTTTCGAGAAAATAAGTTTTTTCTGAAACAATGACGTCATCGCGTCTTGACAGCCACCGAAATAACGATTTCAATATGGATTTCTTCAAATCTCCCGAGCAGCGTATGTGATGACGAAAACCGCAAATACAAAAATTCTAGCTCTTGATGCGGCCTGTGGCACCGTTTGAACCAATTAGCCATATTTTTTACGATTTTTGATTTGCGGCTAATAATTTACTTAGTGGTCTGTGATGGTTTAACTCTTCATTTTTTCTTATAGTCGGAATTATGTTAAGCACACTCGCTCAAAACATGACATGCGATATATACGACATAGGTCAAGTGTTTATTGTTCAACATGGACAGCTGTAACGTCACAACCTATGGGAAGCGTTTATTTATAGACAAGGAATTGGGCAGTAGCGCGTATTATGAAAAAACAGGAAAATTCCTAATCGTTGCGTTTTTTTGCAATGACGGTGTATACTGTGGGAGCGCGAAAGAGCTGTACCGTGTGTAATAGTACCAAAACATTTGAATGTTGCATCCATCGCACAGACTATAAAAGGGTAAAAGGTTGTTGCACAACTGACCAAAGCAAAACCAACTTCTGTCAGATATAAAGTCAAAAGAAAATACGAGAAGTTGCTAAAATTTATTAAATTTAAAAATTAGTTTTATATTTTTTCATTTCCACCATAATGTGATGAATATTAACTAGCTGAGACCTGACGTTGGGGGGCAATAATTTATGAAACCTGTGATAATACTGAACCAGTTGGGTCAAAGCCAGTTGCAAGAGACTGGCGCCGGTAACGAGGTTAGGAAACGACAGGAGGACTTCGCGGTTCAAATCCTCCAGAGATTTTTTCCAGTTTGCGGAAAAATTTCGAACGATATCTGGGGAATTGATCTCCATATTTTTCAGCTCTTTCAATTTCGACGTTTCGAAATAATGCTCGCACTCTTTCACGTATTGTATCATCTCGCCGAAATGGGGGAACAAAATCTGCTCCGCGTATTCTCCGCTTTTGGCCGCTAACCTCGACTTGAACGTTTCCGCTTCCTTACAGTTATCCCTAGTCCTTTCCATGATTATGTTCAAGATCATGTCGTAGTTGTTGATGAGAAATATCAGCTGATCCTTTCTTTCGGTAAACACGCCCGCCATTCGAAATATAAACATTTCCACTTCCTCCTGCAGTTCCGCCAATAACTTGTTGATAATTTCGTTGGGGAAATTTTCGCTAATACTAACGACGGCCGCGCTAAATTCCGCGTACCTCCTTGCAATCTGAAACCATCCAGTTTCACCAAAGCTATGATCTATTTATTAAGGCGAGAGAGTTAAAAACCATTTATAAAGCGGAAAACTTAGTTGGCTTTGCCGTATTCCATAGGCGTACGACGATTGTCAAGACTTGCGAGATTGAGATGTAAAAGGATAGGTATTTGACCTACCTGCGCTTTACTGTTTAAAATTAGAATTATAGTCACTTTTCGCCAGTTATTAGCAAAGTTCGCTCTTAAATATCGCTGAAATTGTTGCTAAGAGATGGATGAGTAAAATTACGCGTCCTAAAAATTGTTATTCTCAATGCTCCTCGCCACTAAAACTAGTTGAAATGTGTTTGAATTTGACAGTCAATTTTAATATTATTCATATTATTAATGCTCGAAGTAAGCTAGAGTTTTTTAATTTCCGTACATTAAGAGACGCCACTGATAAACCTTTCCATCACGCTTGACAAATCTAAGGGAATGTTTGCCATGTTTTTTATTTTGAGATAAGGGATTTGTGGTGGGATAAAAGTATGAAAATTTTTTATAATTTGTGTTCTAAATTACTCATTCTTGATTCTACAGAACACCATCAAGTCAATAAAGAGAACTACAGGAAGAAGAGAAACTGTAATAAATGATCTAGAAAAGACTGCCTTACACTTGTTTTATCAAAAAAATAAGAAACTCTTACTTAAACTAAAGTTTTGTTACAAAAAAACTAAAAACAGAAATGTACTGACTACTTGTAACATGACGATTAAAATTTAAAATTTAAAATTAATATTGTAAATAGTAGATATTTTTTATAATATTTATTTCACCTTACCTATTTTCTTATGTTACTCTTATATAATTTATTTACTGCAGCCCATCTTTATAACTATATTCATGTATAATTATTATTGTATTTAACATACTAAAACTATCTGCAGTAACGCCACTGTGACATTACTTTCATTCACCAAACACTTCTTTCAATTGTATGCAAGTAACTTAAGAACGAAATCTTTTTTTTACATTTTATTACTCTCTCACATTAATAAACACAAGTCTACCAGGTGAGAACTTACATAATGGGGGCCTTTTTCCAAGTTAAACTTCGTTACGTCGCAGTCCCTTATGCTGTTGATATTTAGCCTGACTATATGCTCGAATCGAGGCAGAAGAATTTTTTCCAGCGACTCCCAATAGTAGTCTAAGGCAGGTACGCACCTCTTATGACACATAATTTTGTAACGCAGAACCAGGTGAAAACACAAAAAAATCGCGATCGAATCGAAGCTGGTAGCAATATAGCTCTCGATATTTCTCTGGCAAAGACACACTTAATTTACCACATATTTATTAAAGTTCAACAAGCCTACCTGTAAGAGGTTGAGTGTTTTCCCTAAAATTTTGTTAAACAAATTCATAGCGGCTTGATTTTGCACCATAAAGTATTCGCTGACAAATAAATATTCACGGCAAGCGTTATCTACTAATGCGTATTGCACACTTCTAAACAGAGCTTCGAATGGATACTGAAAATAAAAATTGCTAATAAAAAACAATCCATTTGGATTATCCATACCCGATTTTTGGTTTCGGCATGGGGAACTATAATGGGGGCCTCCAATTGTTGTGCTAGAACATCCCCCCTGTTACCTATAGTGAATACCGTTGCCTTATGTTTAAGTGACTTGTTAAAAAGATTTCTGGTCGCTGTATCTTCGATACCCATCAAATCATCTTTGGTAATACTTTCTTCATACATCAACTTAGTCAATCTTCCCTCGTAGGACTTAAAATAGGAGTAATATATCTTGCTCATGGTGTCAATATATTCATTACAAATCTCCTCGGCTATATTTCTCTCATTCATTAACAGAAATTCATAATGACCTTTAAATTTCAGCAACGTGTTTTGCGGAATTTGATAATTTGTCATTGGTTTTCGAAATTTTGATATTTGCTCTAATAAATATGCGCGAATTTTTGACATTGCCTTAATTCTCAATTTTTCCAAGACGTCCTTCACGTCGTGGCACGATTTTGTGTCCTTAAAACTCTGCTCTTTAATGAACCCTATTTTGTGATTTAAAAGTTGAAGCTGGGATAAAAACTCCTTATCCGTGACAGGCAAGTCCATAATAGCGACTATTAATGTTTCTGGAACGGAAATGTCATCTATGAATTGACTAAGCTGACCTCTAATGGCTTGTCGGTTGGTCAGCTCTTGGCTCATTGAAATGGATTTTCGCTGGAGGGTGAGAATTTCACTGCTAATGCTTCCTAGGTCATTCTGAAAAGCTAGCAACATATTTTCCATTCGTTCCAAAATAGAATCGCATGCCGTAATTCTCGAATGAAGATTGCTAATGTTTTCACTCTCCTTGATGTACACTTTTATGGACTGGTTTTCTGTATTCTTGAGTTCATTTTCAATTTCTCGAGAGTAATGCCGCAAATCTGTGAATGTGTTTAGAATATCCTGAACTACTTTATCGCTGCTGGTTATGCCAGCATTACTGCCTGCCACTTGGACGTATTTGTTGTTACTCATTTTGATTAAAATACTAAAAATTTTTAGTATTGTGTTTGAAAATGAAATGTTTACATGACATATGTCAAGTGCCGACTTCTGTGCAGTGTTGCCATATGGACGTTGGTAAACTATTTTTTTCTATGATCCATGCAAAAATTAATTTGCTTTCGAATGACCGTAGGTACCTATAATTATCCATTACATCAAAAATTACCATTTGTTATATCACGTATGTATGCTACGCCACCCATAACGTACGTCATAAATTATACAAATGTTTAAGCACAGGACTCTGTGCATTCATCTTGATTTCTGTAACATTCTGGTCAGCCGCTTGCCAACATTAAATGAGGTTAATTCTTTTTCTATTTTCTAATCGATTCTTGTGAATTTAAAAGGTTGAGGTTCTTCAGTCAAATGTTCTCAGTGACAATAATGAATATGACAAACTTTTAATAGTATATTTACAGTCTCAAAGTAATTACGTAATTGCGACATAGTTTTTAAAGAAGAAGAGTTTTGAAATTTGTTGGTTTTGGTCAATCGGGGTTAGGTTATACTTTATTTATAGAAAATTAGTTTTGGGTGTAGCGGCATATTTAGAGTTGATTGTAATGGAAAATGTTTTTACGGATTTTCATCACGTTGAAGATTTTTTTTCGTTTTTAGCAAACGTACGTACATATTTGTCGTTATCTGTAGCGAGCATTGTTTTGAAAAAACTTCTTTAATCTAATTTCTGAAAGATGGTTTATTTTAGATCGATTGGAGGGATCCGTGGTTAATCGGGTTGTTTGCCTTTCATGTTTCCATCTTTATGATGGCGGTGCTGACACGAAATTATGGGAATTTTCAAGCGCTCCTGTTTTTTGTGCTCCGTAAGTAGTAATGCTAATACCTGTTTTAAAAGTAAACCTTTCCAATTTTTAGTACTGATGGTGTATTTCTCCGAATACATTAATCAACTCGCGTCTTCCAATTGGCACATATTTTCAAGGCAACAATACTTTGATGACAGTGGCCACTTCATATCAATAGTATTTTCAATGCCCATATTATTGAATTGCATTTTAATGGTGGTATGTATCAAAGTTCCAGTCAAGGGGTTGCAAAATTGTTTTTTTTTTCATGTTGCAGGGCAGCTGGTTGTATCAGTCTACGCAGTTAATGAAAAACTTGAAAATGGCACAAATAAAGGCAGAGTTGCGGAAAAGAAATTCCGACGAGAGAAAGAAATCCAAGTCAGACTGATGGTGGTGTCCCAAATTAGTGTAGATAAGACGTTTTACAGCTGTAGCGACATAAGACTGGACATATTAACTTGTAGATTTAATTGCTTTGTATATTTTACTTGAGGATGTAGGGGGCTAAGGTCAGGTGCATTTATAATGATTAGTTTTAAAATTCAAATTGCCATATTAATAATTAATTTTTTTTTGCAAGTAGTGGAAAATAATTTGTACAAGCCTGCACTTGTTAACGAAATGAGTTATATTCCGTTAATTATTTTTTTTGATAAGTGTCTTCCGAACAAAATATCACAATTTTCTTACCCAATTTCTTAAAATTAGTACAAACGTTTTCTCTTTCATTGTCCCACATTTTGGTGTGACTTTATCCTTTCTTCGGATGCATTCCTTAAAACAAGTTAATAAGTGTTTTAGAACGCTATCATTGTTTTCGGATTCCTGAAAATTAGTTTCTAATGAAAGAGAGTTTAATTTGACAGTTTTTTCCAGGTGGTAATTTTGAATGTCTTTTGTGTTAATATAGAGCTGGAATTTTCTTGTTTTTTTTTTCTAAAATCTCCAAAAGATTTAACCCACATGCGGTGTTTACCCTTGTATTCTATTATTAATTTTAACTGAAACAGAACAATTGCATTGGTAGCCACAGATAAAGAATTTATGTTGGTTAGTTTTAATCAAACCTAATATTTAACCTTTATATGTCAAATCGAAGCAGAATGGGCGACGTCACAGCGGACGTAAAATTAAAACAAATGGCAATTTTTGAGAACCCAGATTAAAAATCGCAACCTGGGTTTCATTGTCCGTAATTAATTAGATTATTAGGAATAAATGTTTTGGCATTTAGTTTGTTTTTTCTCTGACTTTCGACGAAACCTGAAACTCCCTCGCGACACGGTTTACGATACTGTTCAAATAAAATTATCCCATCGTTAACGGAAATAATTTAGCCACAAAAACAGAAATTTTTAGGATATTTTAAGAGAAAATATTTTTTTTCTGAAACCATGCAGTGCGCCGTAATAATCAATGACGTCATGGCGTCTTGACAGCCCACGAAATGGCGATTTCAATATGGATTTTTTCAAATCTGCCGAGCAGCGTATGTGATAGACGAAAACCGCAAATGCAAAAATTTGCAGTGTTTTTTAAGATTTTTGATTTGTGGCTAATAATTTACTCTGTAAAAAAACAATTTTGTAGGTCTTTTAGATTTTTGCCTATAATTTGAAAACCCTGTATACAATCGAAAAAATGCCTGAAATAAATGTTATTGCACTGGATCTTCTGCGTCAGCCGGTTAAAGGATTTTGCCAATCGGATGAACGATTATGGAGGAAAGCTACCAAAAAAAAAATTCAAATATATTTAAAAAATACTTGGAAATATTTGATTGCGTTCAGTTTCTACAGTTCAAATGTGGACACGGACTTTTACTTCTCTGCTAAATTTGAAGTTGATGTCTGCAAATTTAGGACAATTAACACATTTCTCATTTAGCACGGAATATCGGGAACACCCCGTACAGTTATGGAGCCGTATCTTCTGCGTCTTCTGGTTTAAGATTTTTGTTATACTCTTAAACGGTTTTTGAAAAATGATGTTTTTTGTAGACCCTTGCACACGCATTTTTTAATTTTTTTTTGCAATACTTACCCACCCACCAGCTCCCTCCATTTTCAACAGGTTCCGTCACGGGGCAAAGCTGCCAAAAACACTTATTATGCAAAAAGGAGTGGAGAATGTTCTTGAAAAACACACTTTGGAAATGGAAGAGCTACATAAATAACCTTTAATCATTACCGTTGTAAAGTCAAGAAAAAGGTACGAAGATAATTACCAAACGTCAAAAATGAATACAATAATGGCACAGACTAGTATTCTGTTACAATAGCGATAACTGGGCGAGCCAATATTGACCAGAATCCAGAAAATGATATTGCGTTTATATAAAAGTAAATAAATTTTCCATAAAAATCACACGACGCAAATTATCAGAGCCACCTGCGGCGCATCAAGTTTTACAGTAGTAAGACCGCTGTATTATCTAATAGTTTACACATCACGCCAAAATAGGGCAGGAAGGCAGCTTAAAAGATCTGATTAGATTTAAATTTAAGAAGAAAAATTAAGATCACTCCATGCTATTGGTTTAATTACCTTATAAGGTTGCCACAAAGTTAGGTTAGGTTACGAAAATTGATTTTGATAGCAAGTGTAATATAATATATAATTCAATATATTGTTTGGGAGAAATCAAACTAGGAACGTGAATATCTTGAATCTGAATATATCTTCAGGAATCGCCACCGGTAATTTTATTATGTTAGATCCACTTTTTGTAATTTTATATTGAAATAAAACCGTCGCAATTATTATTATTAATTTCCATGTCATTCAGACTGCTGCGCAATACGTCCTTCGAACCACAAAACCTACATTCCCGATAATCTTTGGCTTTCCTTATTATACGAAAAACACTTTCAAGTAATTTCGGAGAGGCGCAGGAAAACACCGTCAAAGAAAAACGAATCAAAACTAAATAATTAGGGGGCAATTAAAATCACATTAGCCGGTTGATATTTCACCGACGTTTGCGGGCGGTTTATACGGTTGTCTTCGGACCTCCGTCCGTGGCCCGAGGTTGTCGGCTCTTTATTTCACACCTCCGAACCGATTCCTTTGTTAATTAGTTTCACCGTCTAATTATCCAAGGAGGCGACTTTAAGTTTTCGTGTTGCCCATAAATAAAGTCCGGAGATCTTCTGATGCGCCGGCCCGCCAAGTCCGGTGTCGGCCCCTTTAATGCGGGGTGTCGAAATCATTATTTATATACGCCCGATGCCCGGGGGCGTATTACAAAAATGGTGAGTATCGCCTCGCAGATGGGCGGGTTTTTTCACTTCTCAAAGACGTACCTCGATGTAGTTTAACACAAGCCGTACAACATGGTCTTCTTCGCGGTTGGTATACTTCGACCAGAAATATAGTGCTTTTGCAACCGACCCCGTGATTAACTTTGCATACTGTTTATTATATAACACACTGCCGAGCATACCCTTACCCGTAACCATTCCGGGACCGTCATAGGAATTTATCTACCTATACTAACAAGCGGGATGCAGTGTATGGTTTTTGAGAAAATAATTCTTATCTGAAACCGTGCAGTAATATATAATAATAATAATATAATATAAATATACCGTTAGAACCAATTAGTCATATTTTCGACCTGCACTCTCTGCTGCGGCTGTTGTTGTTTACTGATTGCCTTGCTGATGGTGCGCCTTTGGTTCTTTAAAGAACTGAAGGAAATTAGTACCTGTCTTCGTCAAAACGGATACCAAAGGCGCACCATCAGCAAGGCAATCAGTAAACAACAACAGCCGCAGCAGAGAGTGCAGGACGAGACCCAACGAAGATCGATCGCTGTCCTGCCATACATCAAGGGGGTTACTGACAAAATCGGCCGAATATTACGGAAATACGACATATCAACGGCATACAAACCTGACCATACCATCGGAGCAATACTAAGAAACCCAAAACAAAAAACTACTCTGGAAAACCAAGGAGTATACAGTGTAGCGTGCGGATCGTGCAGCCTGACGTATGTGGGACAGACCAACAGAAGGATTTCAGCCAGGCTCGAGGAACATCGTTTAGCCATAAGAAACAAACAAACAACATCTGCTTTGTTTCAGCACCAACATCAAACAGGCCATAAAATTGATTTCGGTACTTGCAAACAAATAGCTAATATTCCTGATTTTAGGACTAGGATTATACGAGAGGCCATCGAAATAGAAAAGTCCGGACACCTCAATACGAGAGACGACGCTCTGCATTTATCCAACACGTGGAGAACGATAATCAAACAGCAGAGCGATGCGCAGCAGTCAACGGGGACATCGCAACTACGATCGGGCGAAATTAACAACGCGACAATTCAGGGGGCGGAGCCACCTCCCCCCACGCACAAGCAGCACCGTTACCATCTCCGGCGCAGAGTATAAATACCGCACGCACCGCCGATAACCTCCCAGTGTTCGAAGTGTTTTCGGAGCGCGAGCATTGAAAATGCCAAGTGAGATTTTGGCGAAACGTCTGCAGGATTCCAGTCGGATGCAGGATTCCGGTCGGAGTTCGGCGATCCAAAGATCCAAATATATTTTTTATTCTGAATACCATGTTTTACGTCATAATGCTAATATTAAAAAATCTATCAGGTTTAATGATGTTTGTTATTAGGCACCCTTTTTTGGGCTACCCTGTATAAAACAATCTTTACAACTTTCCAATTTTCTCATAACTTTTGAAACCAGTTTGATAATGGACTTATAACTGTATATTATATTAAAATTTGTGAGTTCAGCGGAAAACTGACCAAGCCACCATAATTTGACAGACTGTACATTTTTTAAAAATTAACTTCTTTTAATTCTGGCCTCAAAACCACTCACACTATAATTGTGAAGTATACTTTCTGAATAACAAATGTGCAACCGCAGCTTGTCGTCAGTATATATTTTAAAGGCTGGCAAATACATTTGCAGAAAACGATAACTAAATTAGTAAATTAATATAATTAATAAATAATATAATATAAATAAATGTAATAAATTAATAATAATTAAATGTTAAAATGGAATGTCGGAATCATAATGTTTTAAATGAAGAAAATTATTCAAACATATTAGGATTCTATGATGTACATCCAGTTTCCTCTATTACTAGAGTATAAGAAGAGACAGGTATTTCTTGGGGATCAATCCACTCAGTTTTGAAAGAATATAAATATAATGCTTTTAAATTTCAACTCAAACTCAAAAACTGAGTGCTGTGTCCGTGTCCCTCCTCAAGTTATTGTGAAAGTTGAAAATTTCCTTGACATGGAATATCCCAAGGCTTGGATAGCGAACAGCGGAATTATGGATTGGATTTTTTCTTTTGAGGGCACATACAAAATCACGTGCACAGAACTACGTGTAACAATGTCACATACAGCAGTATTTAGAATAGTTAAAGAATTACAACATAAATAAATACTAATGCACCTCGTATGTAAAAGAACATCGAAATTTCGCCGTCGTATGTAACGGCATTCAGGTCACGAATTGATTTCCTAAATACTAATTTGTCATCCAAATATTTAGGAAGGTTGGAATTTATCACACGTTTCAAAGAACGTAGAAAGTTGAGCTTGCAAACATTTCTTATTTTCAATCAAATTAATTTCTGGTACGCTCGAGCGACAAGTATTCTGAATTTTCTGTAGCCGATAAGAGGTCAGGGTGTCTAAGCAGGAGTAGTACACAATATGGAAGCAAGACAAACGAGAGAGAACAATACTCTTATAGGACTGTATTTGAATTTTGAATTTGTTATTCGAATACTGCAATCTCAAACTCGTATAACACTGTTTGGAAAGATGATCCAAAAACTTCATATTCTCATCAATATATAGACTCAGATGTTTAACAGACTCTGCAACTAGGTTTATTGTCCACATATAGTTTCATCTTGGACTTGATGTTGATTTGGCACCAAAGTTTGATGGATTTAAGCGTAAATTAACCAACCAAATCATAGGCAACCCGCAATATAATGGCAATATATTCATACACGACAACAATATGGGCCTTAATATTGTTAGTGTGGGGGTTGTTTGCGGCCTTGCCCGAGCATGTTATTAAAAAAAAAAAAGCTGCCTCCCCCGTGGTGTAAAATCCGACTGGCGAAACCGTTCCTGTGGGGGCGAAGTCCTTGTTCATCCC